TGGGTCCTTCAGATGGGCTTGTAGAGGGGCCGACACTTGGACTCACACTGGGATCAACCGAAGGACTGGCGCTGGGAATTCCACTTGGACCCGTTGACGGAACAGCAGATGGGCTCTCTGATGGGATTCCAGAGGGATCCACACTTGGAGTAGCACTTGGGCTTTCAGAAGGAGAAGGTGTTGGACCACTGGTGGGGATCTTGCTGGGGCTTTCAGATGGTCCTTCGCTTGGAGAAATCGAGGGGTCAGACGACGGACTTCCCGAAGGAAGGCTACTGGGGCTCTCAGATGGGCCGCCACTGGGGCTTATGCTTGGGGTTTCGGATGGTTGTGCAGAAGGGCCAGATGAGGGGCTTTCAGATGGTCCGCCACTTGGGCTCACTGAGGGACTGGTGCTGGGTTGACTGCTTGGAGTCATGGAAGGCATCTCGGAAGGACTCTCGGATGGAATTCCAGAGGGATCTACACTGGGCGTCTCACTTGGGCTATCAGAGGGGGTGGGGGTAGGGCCACTTGTTGGGATTGTGGATGGGCTTTCTGAAGGACCAGTAGATGGCATTCCTGATGGTACGACGATGGTGAAACAGAAGGACTCACACTTGGGCCCTCTGAAGGACTTGCGCTGGGGAGAGAGCTGGGGGCACCAGATGGGTCCACTGATGGGCTCTCTGATGGGATACTTGATGGATCAGTGCTGGGAGAAACACTAGGGACATCAGATGGACTGGGTGTGGGTCCACTGGTGGGTATCTTGGAGGGGCTCTCTGATGGCTCAGTGCTGGGAGTTTCAGAGGGAACAGATGAAGGTGATACTGATGGACTGACACTGGGATCTGTGGACGGACTCGTGCTGGGGCTGATGCTTGGTCCACCTGATGGGTCCACTGAAGGACTCGCAGAAGGAATGGATGATGGATCAGTACTAGGAGACACACTGGGATGGTGAAGGAGTAGGTGTGGTGCCACTTGTTTGAACCTTGGATGGGCTCTCGGATGGTATTGAGCTTGGAGATTCAGAGGGGTCAGCTGAAGGTGATGCAGAGGGGCCCACCGATGGGTCCCTGGATGGCATCTCACTGGGCTTTACAGATGCTTAGATGATGGGCTCTCACTTGGTGCTGACTGCTAGTAGGCGTTGGCAGATGGAAGTCCACTTGTTGGGCTGGTAGTGGGGCTCTCGCTTGGACTGGTAGTTGGAGAACCAGTGGGTGTTTCACTGGGGGTGGAACTTGGCGACACGCTGGGTCCTTCAGATGGGCTTGTAGAGGGGCCGACACTTGGACTCACACTGGGATCAACCGAAGACTGGCGCTGGGAATTCCACTGGACCGTTGACGGAACAGCAGATGGGCTCTCTGATGGGATTCCAGAGGGATCCACACTTGGAGTAGCACTTGGGCTTTCAGAAGGAGAAGGTGTTGGACCACTGGTGGGGATCTTGCTGGGGCTTTCAGATGGTCCTTCGCTTGGAGAAATCGAGGGGTCAGACGACGGACTTCCCGAAGGAAGGCTGCTGGGGCTCTCAGATGGGCCGCCACTGGGGCTTATGCTTGGGGTTTCGGATGGTTGTGCAGAAGGGCCAGATGAGGGGCTTTCAGATGGTCCGCCACTTGGGCTCACTGAGGGACTGGTGCTGGGTTGACTGCTTGGAGTCATGGAAGGCATCTCGGAAGGACTCTCGGATGGATTCCAGAGGATCTACACTGGGCGTCTCACTTGGGCTATCAGAGGGGTGGGGGTAGGGCCACTTGTTGGGATTGTGGATGGGCTTTCTGAAGGACCAGTAGATGGCATTCCTGATGGTACCGACGATGGTGAAACAGAAGGACTCACACTTGGGCCCTCTGAAGGACTTGCGCTGGGGAGAGAGCTGGGGGCACCAGATGGGTCCACTGATGGGCTCTCTGATGGGATACTTGATGGATCAGTGCTGGGAGAAACACTAGGGACATCAGATGGACTGGGTGTGGGTCCACTGGTGGGTATCTTGGAGGGGCTCTCTGATGGCTCAGTGCTGGGAGTTTCAGAGGGAACAGATGAAGGTGATACTGATGGACTGACACTGGGATCTGTGGACGGACTCGTGCTGGGGCTGATGCTTGGTCCACCTGATGGGTCCACTGAAGGACTCGCAGAAGGAATGGATGATGGATCAGTACTAGGAGACACACTGGGACTGGTAGAAGGAGTAGGTGTGGGGCCACTTGTTGGAACCTTGGATGGGCTCTCGGATGGTATTGAGCTTGGAGATTCAGAGGGGTCAGCTGAAGGTGATGCAGAGGGGCCCACCGATGGGTCCCTGGATGGCATCTCACTGGGGCTTACAGATGGCTTAGATGATGGGCTCTCACTTGGTGCCTGACTGTCAGTAGGCGTGGCAGATGGCAGTCCACTTGGTTGAGGGCTGGTAGTGGGGCTCTCGCTTGGACTGGTAGTTGGAGAACCAGTGGGTGTTTCACTGGGGGTGGAACTTGGCGACACGCTGGGTCCTTCAGATGGGCTTGTAGAGGGGCCGACACTTGGACTCACACTGGGATCAACCGAAGGACTGGCGCTGGGAATTCCACTTGGACCCGTTGACGGAACAGCAGATGGGCTCTCTGATGGGATTCCAGAGGGATCCACACTTGGAGTAGCACTTGGGCTTTCAGAAGGAGAAGGTGTTGGACCACTGGTGGGGATCTTGCTGGGGCTTTCAGATGGTCCTTCGCTTGGAGAAATCGAGGGGTCAGACGACGGACTTCCCGAAGGAAGGCTGCTGGGGCTCTCAGATGGGCCGCCACTGGGGCTTATGCTTGGGTTTCGGATGGTTGTGCAGAAGGGCAGATGAGGGCTTCAGAGGTCCGCCATTGGCTCCTGAGGACTGGTGCTGGGTTGACTGCTTGGAGTCATGGAAGGCATCTCGGAAGGACTCTGGATGGAATTCCAGAGGGATCTACACTGGGCGTCTCACTTGGGCTATCAGAGGGGTGGGGGTAGGGCCACTTGTTGGGATTGTGGATGGGCTTTCTGAAGGACCAGTAGATGGCATTCCTGATGGTACCGACGATGGTGAAACAGAAGGACTCACACTGGGCCCTCTGAAGGACTTGTGCTGGAGAGAGCTGGGGGCACCAGATGGGTCACTGATGGGTCTCTTGATGGATACTTGATGGATCAGTGCTGGGAAACACTAGGGACATCAGATGCTGGTGTGGGTCCACTGGTGGGTATCTTGGAGGGCTCTCTGATGGCTCAGTGCTGGGAGTTTCAGAGGGAACGATGAAGGTGATACTGATGGACTGACACTGGGATCTGTGGTGGACTCGTGCTGGGGCTGATGCTTGGTCCACCTGATGGGTCCATGAAGGACTCGCAGAAGGAATGGAGATGGATCAGTACTAGGAACACATGGATGGCAGAAGGAGTAGGTGTGGGCCACTTGTTGGAACTTGATGGGTCTCGGATGGTATGAGCTTGGAGATTCAGAGGGGTCAGCTGAAGGTGATGCAGAGGGGCCCACCGATGGGTCCCTGGATGGCATCTCACTGGGGCTTACAGATGGCTTAGATGATGGGCTCTCACTTGGTGCCTGACTGTCAGTAGGCGTGGCAGATGGCAGTCCACTTGGTTGAGGGCTGGTAGTGGGGCTCTCACTTGGACTGGTAGTTGGAGAACCAGTGGGTGTTTCACTGGGGGTGGAACTTGGCGACACGCTGGGTCCTTCAGATGGGCTTGTAGAGGGGCCGACACTTGGACTCACACTGGGATCAACCGAAGGACTGGCGCTGGGAATTCCACTGGGACCTGTTGACGGAACAGCAGATGGGCTCTCTGACGGGATTCCAGATGGATCCACACTTGGAGTAGCACTTGGGCTGTCAGAAGGAGAAGGTGTTGGACCACTGGTGGGGATCTTGCTGGGGCTTTCAGATGGTCCTTCGCTTGGAGAAATCGAGGGGTCAGACGACGGACTTCCCGAAGGAAGGCTGCTGGGGCTCTCAGATGGGCCGCCACTGGGGCTTATGCTTGGGGGTTCGGATGGTTGTGCAGAAGGGCCAGATGAGGGGCTTTCAGATGGTCCGCCACTTGGGTTTACTGAGGGGCTTGTGCTGGGTTTACTGCTTGGAGTCATGGAAGGCACCTCAGAAGGACTCTCAGATGGAATTCCAGAGGGATCTACACTGGGCGTCTCACTTGGGCTATCAGAGGGGGTGGGGGTAGGGCCACCCGTCGGGATTTCGGATGGGCTTTCTGAAGGAGCAGTAGAGGGAACGGTTGAAGGGGTAGACGAAGGTGACTCAGATGGCCTGGCACTGGGGTCTGCAGACGGAGTGGAACTGGGAATGGCACTTGGGCCCCCTGATGGGTCAGTGGATGGACTCTCTGATGGGCGTACTGATGGATCCACGCTGGGTGTCACACTTGGGGAAGCAGAGGGAGTGGGGGTTGGGCCGCCTGTTGGGATTTTGGATGGGCTCTCTGAAGGTCTAGTAGATGGAATGGTTGAAGGGACTGACGAAGGTGACTCAGAAGGACTGACACTGGGGTCCCTTGATGGAGTAGAGCTGGGGATTGCACTTGGTCCACCTGATGGGTCTACAGATGGACTCACGGAAGGAGTAGCTGATGGCACTGCGCTGGGAGAAGTACTGGGGCTATCAGAGGGTGTAGGTGTTGGGCCTCCTGTAGGGATGTTTGAAGGGCTCCCAGAGGGTTTGCCAGAAGGGCTCTCGCTGGGAGCCTGGCTGTCTGTTGGTGTGAAGGAAGGCAGTCCACTGGGATAAGGACTGGCAGTTGGGCTATCACTAGGACTGCTTGTTGGTATGCCTGTGGGGCTGCCACTTGGGTCAGAGCTGGGCGAGGAGCTGGGGTCAACTGAAGGATTACTGCTGGGACTTCCAGAGGGGATTGCACTTGGGGAAATTGATGGTGATCCACTTGGGGTTGGGGTTGGTCCTCCGGTTGGTACGCCTGAAGGGCTTTCCGATGGGACCATTGATGGTGTTCCACTAGGCATCTCAGAAGGTGACACTGAAGGCCCGGGAGTGGGCCCTCCAGTTGGTTGACCAGAGGGGCTTTCCGATGGTACTTCAGAAGGTGACGCTGACGGACCGGGAGTTGGTCCTCCAGTGGGTTGACCTGAGGGGCTCTCAGATGGTACTCCGGAGGGTGATTCCGAAGGTCTTGGGGTGGGTCCTCCAGTTGGTTGTCCAGAGGGGCTTTCTGACGGCCTGAGGGTGGGCCCTCCAGTTGGTTGACTAGAGGGGCTTTCCGATGGAACTTCGGAAGGTGACGCTGACGGACTGGGAGTTGGTCCTTCAGTGGGTTGACCTGAGGGGCTCTCAGATGGTACTCCGGAGGGTGATTCCGAAGGACTTGGAGTGGGTCCTCCAGTTGGTTGTCCAGAGGGGCTTTCTGACGGCCTGAGGGTGGGCCCTCCAGTTGGTTGACCAGAGGGGCTTTGTGATGGCCTAATAGTAGGTCCTCCAGTTGGTTGTTGGGAGGGGCTTTCTGATGGCCTAATAGTAGGTCCTCCAGTTGGTTCTTGGGAGGGGCTTTGTGATGGCCTAATAGTAGGTCCTCCAGTTGGTTCTTGGGAGGGGCTCACCGATGGTCCAGCGCTGGGGCTTCCAGAGGGTGAAACCGAGGGAACTGATGATGGAGTATTGCTTGGGATTGGGCTTGGCACAACCGAAGGAGTTGCAGTAGGTTCCTTTTCAACAGTTCTGGTCTTGACACATGTATAAAAGGATGTGATAGTCAAATCATCAACACCATATGTTTCTTCCGAGTTTGGATTGGGTGAATCAACCAAAAATCCAAGTGCCAGCGAAGTTGGAGCTTCCTCCTCAATCATACTTGATGGGATTGTCAACGCAATTGTGTGCTTCTTGTCATCCACAGACCCATCATTAATGCTTAGGGACTCTTCAGGTGTGACACGGGTCCATGTAATGCCACTATCTGTGCTACCGCTCTCCATGCCACCCGGAAGTGATTCTGTTGGATTCATGTTCCCAAAGTCAATGTTCTCGTCATTAATAACAGCATAGAACTTTGTCGAGGAATCTGATGAATCCAGTTGGTAAATGGTAAAGTTCACAGTTACTGCATAAGCACCAACTTCATCCCCACCAAAGGACACAGGGATCTCATAGGAATTTGTAACCTCAGGGTTCTGCGTTCCAAGGAGACCCAAGATCTGAGTGGAAGTCACACTATTGAAAAGACTTCCTCCATTCCAGGATCCAGAGGAGTCGGAACTTTCAAAGTCCTCCTCCTCTAGAACAACTTCATCATAACATTCCTTGGAAGGAACTGCACTAGGGCTGGCGGAGGGCAAACCAGATGGTCGGTCGGAAGGAACGACCGTGGGGGAAGCACTTGGGTCGCTTGTGGGGGCTTCGGTTCCACAAATGTAGACGGCCGTAATTGTCAGGTCATCAATTCCATAGCTCTCCTCAGAAGTTGGGTTGGTCGAATCAACCTGGAAGCCAACTGTCAAGGAAGTGGGTTTGTCATCCTCGATCAAACTTGATGGGATTGTCAGGGTGATAGTGTGCTTCTTGTCGTCCTCGGATCCATCATTGATACTGAGGGACTCTTCAGGCGTAACTCGGGTCCATTTGATGCCACTGTCGGTGCTGCCGCTCTCGCTGCTGCCTGGAAGTGACTCGGTGGGGTCCATGCTTCCAAACTCAATGGGCTCGCCGTTGATGACAGCATAGAAAGTGGTGGAGGAATCAGAGGAATCAAGCTGGTACAGAGTGAAACTCACAGTCACATTGTTGGCCCCGTCTTCTTGTGGGGGGGAAGACACTGGGATCTCGTAAGTATTGGTCATCTCTGGGTTCTGCGTTCCAAGAAGTCCCAAGAACTGACCGCCAGTCTCGCTGCTGAAGAGACTGCCGCCGTTCCATGATTCCGAGGAGTCAGAGCTCTCAAAACTCTCGTCCACCACAACCACCTCTTCATCGTAACATTCCTTGACAGATGGAGCCGCACTGGGGCTGGCGGAGGGCAAACCAGATGGTCGGTCGGAAGGAACGACCGTGGGGGAAGCACTTGGGTCGCTTGTGGGGGCTTCGGTTCCACAAATGTAGACGGCTGTAATTGTCAGGTCATCAATTCCATAGCTCTCCTCAGAAGTTGGGTTGGTCGAATCAACCTGGAAGCCAACTGTCAAGGAAGTGGGTGTGTCATCCTCAATCAAACTTGATGGGATTGTCAAGGTGATTGTGTGCTTCTTGTCGTCCTCAGATCCATCATTGATACTGAGGGACTCTTCCGGTGTAACTCGGGTCCATTTGATGCCACTGTCAGTGCTGCCGCTCTGGCTGCTGCCTGGAAGTGACCCTGTAGGGTCCATGTTTCCAAACTCAATGGGCTCATCGTTGATGACAGCATAGAAAGTGGTGGAGGAATCAGAGGAATCAAGCTGATAGAGAGTGAAACTCACAGTCACACTATTGGCCCCGTCTTGTTCTGGAGGGGAAGACAGTGGGATCTCATAAGTATTGGTGATCTCTGGATTCTCTGTTCCAAGAAGTCCCAAGAACTGGCTACCAGTCTCGCTGTTGAAGAGACTGCCACCGTTCCATGATTCTGAGGAATCAAAGCTCTCAAAATTCTCGTCCACCACAACAACCTCTTCATCGTAACATTCCTTGACAGATGGAGCCGCACTGGGGCTTGCTGAAGGCGATCCAGTTGGACTTGCACTACTGGTGCCAGTTGGATCCACACTTGGAACAGCAGAAGGAACAGTGCTTGAAGTGGGTTCCATGCTTACAGTTGGGGGCATACTTACTGTGGGATTTTCTGACACAACTGCTGTGGGTCCAGATGATGGGGTCTCTGATGGCCCAGAGGATGGTTCATCAGACATGCTGGCACTTGGTTCGGAGCTGGTAGTAGGAATAGCAGAGGTTGTTGTTGGTACCAAGGACGGGTTGTAACTTGGGATTTCTGTTGTGGCTGTACTTGGCTCTGGTGTGGTTGGTTCTCTTGTTGTGGGAGAGGTGGAAGGCCCCGAGGAGGGCACATTTGTTTCCAGAGAACCTCCTCTTTCGATCCATGATGGCATGGCTGATGGAGAATTCGTTTCAATTGCCTCGCCCTTTTCAACCCAGCTGGGTTGTGCACTTGGTGTGCCATCTGTTGGACTGGGTGTTACTGGACTGGCAGTTGGGTCTGTCTCAATTGGAGCAACTGTGTTGGGAGCCTCCGACTTGTAGCAGCTTGGATCGCAAGGAATCGTCACCATAAAAGCTGCAGTCCTTTTTTCTACCACAGCTTCAAGCCCTTCGCATCCCTCTGGCAGCAAATCAGGATCTCCAGAGTCCAACAAACCATGGAAATACAGCTCGACATTAGCATATCCTTCAACACAAAGAGCTGAATAGCTCATATCATTACTACCCCATTGTGGCTGCAAACGTTCGTCACATGTAACCGTCTCGTCAACAGCAGTGTACACTGCAGCCATCCAACTCAAATCTCCATCTCCTTCAGTTGTCAATAGTTCAAAAACATCAAAACTGATAGTTTCACCATCTGTACTTGCCACTTCAATCGGCACAATTTCAAAAGTTTCTGTTCCCGCAACTGGTTCAATGGATATTTCACAATACTTAGATAATGGCACATCCGAGGGACTCGCAGAAGGTGCAATGACTGTTTTCCCAGTGGGAGAGGAGGTCTTTGGAGGGGGGCCAGGTTCAACATTAACAGGACTGCCCGTTGGTGTTCCGGTAGTAGAAGTGGGTGCACCAGTAGTGACAGCAGAAGGAGATTCTGTCTTCTCACATGTGTACAAGGCTGTGATCTTCAAGTCATCAACACCATAGCTCTCCTCTGAATTGGGGTTGGGTGAATCAACCTGGAATCCAAGCGTTAGAGAGGTGGGGGAATCATCCTCAATCAAATCAGATGGGATGGTCAGAGAAATGGTGTGCTTCGTGTCATCAGTGGGACCATCATTAACACTGATAGACTCTTCAGGGGTAACTCGAGTCCATTGAATGCCACTGTCGGTGGTTCAGACTGGGGCTCTCCATCACTGTGGGATTCATGTCTCCAAAGTCAGGGCTCATCATTGATACAGCATAGAACTTGGTGGAGGAATCGTCGAATCCAGCTGATAAAGTGTGAACTCAACTAGCACCTCTTTGCGCCCTCTTGCTCTGGTCCAGAGAACAGTGGGATCTCGTAGGTGTTTGACATCTGTGGATTCTCATCATCCAGGAGTCCCAGGAACTGACCAGAAGTCTCGCTGTCAAAAAGGCTGCCACCACTCCACGGTTCAGAGGAGTCAGAAGTTTCAAAGGTCTCTTCCTCCAGGACAACCTCTGGGTAACAGATCTTGACAGAAGATGGAGTCCCTGTGGTTGTTGTTGTGGGCGAACTGGTAACAGGCGCTCCTGTTGGGCTGCCAGTGCCTGGGGTGCCAGTGGGTGTTCCTGTTGTGGTGCTTGCTGTTGGTGTTAGTGTCTCACCAACTCTAGTTGGTGCACCCGTGGCTGGGATAATAGTGGCAGTTGTTCCTGTAGGAGAAATGGAAGGGCTGTCAGTGGGCCATGCTGTTGGGATATTGCTACCAGTTGGTGTTCCAGTAACAGGGGAATCAGTTGGGCTACCAGTAGTAAAGGTACGAAATGTTCCTGTGGGGCTGCCAGTTGATGATACCTCTGTAGGACTTCCTGTGGATCCAGTTGGTGGAATTGTAACTACAGTTCCAGGTGGTGTGGTGTTTTCTCCAGTTGTTGGTGAGGGAGTACTCGGAGATGCCGTTTTGATTCCAGTGGGACTTCCTGTGAGAGAAGGAATCATGCCAGTTGGACTGCCAGTGGATGACTTTCCGGTAGGGCTTTCTGTGGTTATTGTAGGTAGTGAAGTTGTGGTTCCCGTTGGTGGGGCAGTTTCTTCTGTTGTTGGTGTTGGAGTTATTGGAGATTCAGTTGTGGTTCCAGTAGGACTTGTAGTCAAGGTTGGGATGGTGCCGGTTGGCCTGCCAGTGGATGCTGGTCCCGTAGGGCTTTCTGTGGTCATTGTAGGAGGTGCAGTTGTGGATCCAGTTGGTGGGACAGTTTCTTCGGTTGTTGGTGTTGGAGTTGTTGGAGATGCATTTGTGGTTCCAGTAGGACTTGTAGTTAAGATTGGGATGGTGCCGGTTGGCCTGCCAGTGGATGCTGGTCCTGTAGGGCTTTCTGTGGTGATTGTAGGAGGTGCAGTTGTGGATCCAGTTGGTGGGACAGTTTCTTCGGTGTTGGTGTTGGAGTTGTTGGAGATGCCGTTGTGGTTCCAGTAGGACTTGTAGTTAAGATTGGGATGGTGCCGGTTGGCCTGCCAGTGGATCCTAGTCCCGTAGGGGTTTCTGTGGATATTGTAGGTGGTGCAGTTGTGGATCCAGTTGGTGGGACAGTTTCTCCGGTTGTTGGTGGTGGAGTTGTTGGAGATGCAGTTGTGGTTCCAGTGGGACTTCCAGTGACTGAGGGGATAATTCTGGTGGGGTTCCCAGTAGACAACACACCAGTAGGTCTTGTTGTTGTTGTTGCTCCAGTGGGTGATTCAGTTACGGTTCCAGTAGGGTTTCCTGTCGATGGCGTTCGGGTGGGTGTACCTGTCACGGATACAACTGTTGGACTGCCAGTTGACACAATTGATGGAGATTGTGTCTTTGCACAAGTGTAAAAGGATGTGATCTTCAGATCATCAATTCCATAGCTTTCCTCTGAACTGGGATTGGGTGAATCAACCTGGAATCCCAGTGACAGTGATGTTGGAGAATCATCCTCAATCAAATCAGATGGAATGGACAGCACAATTGTGTGCTTCTTGTCATCAGTGGGCCCGTCATTCACACTGAGAGACTCTTCGGGGGTAACTCGAGTCCATTGAATGCCACTGTCAGTGGTTCCAGACTGGGGCTCTCCCCCAGCAGTGGGATTCATGTTTCCCAAGTCAATCTGTTCATCATTGATGACAGCATAGAACTTGGTGGATGAATCTGTCGAATCAAGCTGGTACAGGGTGAACTCTACTCGCACCTCCTTTGCGCCCTCTTGTTCTGATCCGGAGGATAGTGGGATCTCATAAGTGTTGGAGATCTGTGGATTCTCCTTGTTCAGAAGTCCCAAGAACTGAGTGGAAGTATCGCTATCAAAGAGACTGCCACCATTCCAAGATTCAACCGAATCAAAGCTTTCAAAGTTCTCTTCCTCAAGAACAACCTCTGGGTAACAGATCTCAACAGAAGTTGGACCAGTGGTTGTTGTTGTGGGTGAACTGGTGACAGGTTCGCCTGTTGGGCTACCAGTTGTGGTAGCTGGTGTTGGTGTTGCAGTAGTGATTCCAGTTGGACTTGATGTTACAGGGACTCCTGTTGGGCTCCCTGTGACTGAAGATCCAGTTGGTGATCCAGTTACTGAGGTTGGTGAGGGAGTTGTTGGAGGTACTGTCATGATGCCAGTGGGACTTCCTGTGAGAGAAGGAATAGTGCCTGTTGGGCTCCCAGTGGACGAAACTGCTGAAGGACTGCTTGTTGCTGTTGTTTCAGTGGGTGCAACAGTAGCTGTTGTTCCAGTTGGTGTGCTGCTTTCACCGGGTGTCGGAGAAGGTGTAACTGGAGACAATGTTGTTGTCCCCGTAGGGCTGCTAGTGAAGGTGCGAAATGTACCTGTAGGGCTTCCGGTGGAGGGAGCTCCTGAAGGGATTCCTGTTGCCTTTGTTCCAGTGGGTGCAGCTGTAACTGTAGCTCCAGTTGGTGTGCTACTCTCACTTGTTGTTGGCGAGGGAGTAGTTGGGGGTGTTGTTGTGGTTCCTGTGGGACTTCCAGTGAGTCTAAGATTGTTGCCAGTTGGGCTGCCAGTGGAGGAAAATGCTGAAGGACTACCTGTTGCTGTTGTTTCAGTTGGCGGGACTGTAACTGTTGTAGTTGTTGGAGCTGCTGTGACGGGTGCTTCAGTAGGACTCAGAGTTTCACTGCCACTTCCTGTGTCAGTTACGGTCTCGGCTGTAGTTGGGTTGGGGGTTGGGGACAAGGATGGAAACTCTGTAATCGAAATGGTAGGTGACTCTGTCTTTTGTTTTGTTGGTACAGGTGTATTACGACCAAAACTGAACGTGGGATTCATTGATGGTTCATTTGTGCTTTGTTGTATGGTGGGGATTGTGGTAGTGGCTGATGTAGGCTCACTTGTGGTTGGTGTCTTCTTGATTGTTGGAGCAGGTGTATCGCTTCCGAAGCTTGGGGTTGGATTCCCTGTTGTTGGAGTGGAAGTAACAGGAGAGCCAGTTGGACTGAGAGTCTCGCTGCCTCCCCCTGATTCAGTAACAGTTCCAGCCACTGTAGGTGCCAGAGTAGATGGCACACCGGTTTCCTTACTTGATGGTACTGGTGTGTTTTGTGGCAAGGCAGGTGGCACTGGAAGTCCAGTGTTTGGAGGCACTGTTTTCTTCACACTTGGGACTGAAGTTACCCCCCCACTAGGGCTGTTAGTGGATGTGGGGATGACTGTCTGAACTGGTTCTGTACCAGATGGCACTGGTGTATTCTGTGGCAATCCCAGAGAAGGGCTGATTGTCTCCTTGCCAGAGGTTGGGCTCAAAGTAATAGAGGGTTGCACCAAGGATGGAATGCCAGTTGTGGGAGTCTCCGTTTTGCTGGGAGTTGGTGTTACCCCAACACTTGGGCTGAGTGTGGCTGTGGGAACTGTTGTGTTCTTGCTTGATGGCACTGGTGTGTTTTGTGGCAAGGCAGGTGGCACTGGAAGTCCAGTGTTTGGAGGCACTGTCTTCTTCACACTTGGGACTGGAGTTACCCCCCCACTAGGGCTGTTAGTGGATGTGGGAATGCCTGTCTGGACCGGTTCTGTACCAGATGGCACAGGTGTATTCTGTGGAAATCCCAGAGAAGGGCTAGTTTTCTCCTTGCCAGAGGTTGGGCTCAAAGTATTAGAGGGTTGCACCAAGGATGGAATGCCAGTTGTGGGAGACTCTGTTTTGCTGGGAGTTGGTGTTACCCCAACACTTGGGCTGAGTGTAGCTGTGGGCACTGTTGTTTCCTTACTTGAAGGTACTGGTGTGTTTTGTGGCAGGCCAGGGGTTACAGTTGGGTTTCCAGAGCTAGAAGGACCTGTAGTCGTCACACTTGGGAGCGGAGTTACTCCTCCACTAGGGCTGACAGTAGATGTAGGGGTTAGTGTCTGCCCAGGTTGGAGACTTGATGGCACCGGTGTGTTCTGTGGAAAACCCTGAGAAGGGAGAGGTGTCTCTTTGCCAGATGTGGGACTCTCGGTACCAGTAGGTTCCGGCACACTTGGACCGGGTGTGACCCCAGCACTTGGGCTGAATGTTGCTGTTGGAACATCTGTTTCTTTGCTGGAGGGCACTGGAGTGGTTTCTGGAAGCCCTGGCGTGCCTGTTGGTGCCCCAGGAATGGGAGGTGCGGTAGTTCTCTCAGTGGGGACAGGAGTGACTCCAGCGCTAGGGCTAGGTGTGGATGAAGGGATTCCTGTCTGGGTTGGTTCCTTACCAGATGGAACAGGTGTATTTTGTGGCAGGCCAGGCAGTACAGTTGGGTTACCAGCGCTGGAAGGAACCATAGTCTTGGAACTTGGGGAAGGGGTGACTTCTGCAGTAGGGCTGGGAGTGGATGATGGGGCATTATTTGTTGGCACTGGAGTGTTTTGTGGCAGGCCAGGTGGCCCAGTTGGAGGCAAACTGGTTGGAGTGCCAGTGGTTTTCCCAGTGGGGAGAGCAGAAACTCCAGAACTAGGACTGGGAGTGGATGATGGCCCTCCTGTCAACCTTGTTTCTTTATTTGTTGGGACTGGAGTGTTTTGTGGCAGGCCAGGTGGCCCAGTTGGAGGCAAACTGGTTGGAGTGCCGGTGGTTTTCCCAGTGGGGAGAGCAGTAACTCCAGAACTAGGCCTGGGAGTGGATGATGGCTCTCCTGTCAATGTTGTTTCCCTATTTGTTGGGACTGGAGTGTTTTGTGGCAGGCCAGGTGGCCCAGTTGGAGGCACACTGGTTGGAGGACCAGTGGTTTTCCCAGTGGGGACGGGAGTAACCCCCGCACTAGGGCTTGGAGTCGATGATGGCACTCCTGTCAACGTTGTTTCCTTGCTTGTTGGAACTGGAGTGTTTTGTGGCAGGCCAGGTGGCCCAGTTGGAGGCACACTGGTTGGAGGACCAGTGGTTTTCCCAGTGGGGACGGGAGTAACCCCCGCACTTGGGCTTGGAGTGGATGATGGCACTCCTGTCAACGTTGTTTCCTTGCTTGTTGGAACTGGAGTGTTTTGTGGCAGGCCAGGTGGCCCAGTTGGAGGCACACTGGTTGGAGGACCAGTGGTTTTCCCAGTGGGGACGGGAGTAACCCCGGCACTAGGGCTTGGAGTGGATGATGGCACTCCTGTCAACGTTGTTTCCTTGCTTGTTGGAACTGGAGTGTTTTGTGGAAGGCCAGGTTGCCCTGTTGGTTGTAAACTGTTGGGTGGACCAGTTGTTTTCACGGTAGGAACCGGGGTAACTCCAGAACTAGGGCTGGGAGTGGATGATGGCGCTCCTGTCAACGTTGTTTCCTTATTTGTTGGAACCGGTGTGTTTTGTGGAAGGCCAGGTGGCACTGTTGGAGGCACACTGGTTGGAGGACCAGTGGATTTCCCAGTGGGGACCGGGGTAACTCCCACACTGGGGCTGGCCGTGGATGATGGCACTCCTGTCAACGTTGTTTCCTTGCTTGTTGGAACTGGTGTGTTTTCTGGGAAAAGTGGTGGCCCTGTTGGAGGTATACTATTTGGTGGACCAGTCGTTTTCTCTGTGGGGATAGGAGTAACATCAACACTGGGGTTGGGAGTGGATGATGGCACTCCTGTCAAGAGAGTTTCTTTACTTGTTGGGAATGGTGTGTTCTCTGGAAAGGCAGGTGGCACTGGAAGTCCAGTGTTTGGAGGAACTGTTGTTTCCTCGGTGGGAACAGGAGTGACTCCTGCACTTGGATTTGGTGTTGAAGTGGGGATTCCTGTTAAAACTGTTTCCCTGTTGGATGGCACCGGGGTGTTTTCTGTGAAGGAGGGTGGGACTGGAAGACCAGTGTTTGGAGAAACAGTGGTTATCCCTGCAGGAGGCGGTGTGACACCTGTGCTAGGGTTTGGTGTGGAAGTGGGGATTCCTGTCAAAACTGTTTCAGTGGTTGATGGCACTGGAGTTTTCTCTCCAAATACGCTTGGATTGGACGTGGGAGTTTCGGGAACAACTGTTGTTTTCGTAGTAGGAACAGGGGTCACTGGAACAAAAACAGTACTAGGACTTGTGGTTTCAGTTCCAGTAGGAGTTGAAGTCAGTATCGATTGTATGGCTGACGGACTGATCGTTTCAGCAGTCGGGACAGGCTTTCGCGCCACGTCTGTTTCCTTTGGAGTTGGGGCTGGTGTCACTTGCACAAATGTTGGAGTAGGCGCCGAAGTGGCTTCATTTGGAGGAGTCTGCACGCTGGAGGGAACCGGTGTTTTTTGGATGCTTGGAGCGCCTACTGTTGGACTTACAGTCACAATGGCTGCCTCTTTTACAGAAGGGACCGGCGTCTCTCCAATGGTTGGTCCAGAGGGCTGCGCCGTACCTTGGCTGGGAGGACTGGTACCAGCAGACGGCACTGCCGTTCCAGTCGGACGAGTGAGATTGGCTTCGTTTGCCGTAGATGTAGGAGCAGGCGTCTCGGACCCAAAAGATGATGTAGGAGTGAGTTTGTTCACGTCGCTTCCTCCCGTGAAGTGAGTTGGTGCGGTGGTCGTTTCGTTAAGTTCGGGTGGCCTGGTAAGCGTAGCTCCGCCCTCAAAGGCGGTCGGACCTGGTGTCTCGTATCCTCGTGTCGCTGAAGTAGGAGCTTTGGTCAAACCGCCGCCACCGGCAGTATAAGACGGTGCTGCGGTCGTTTCGTTTTGCTCGGGCGGCCTGGTAAGATTTGCACCACCCTCAAAAGCCGTTGGACCAGGTGTCTCGTATCCTCGTGTCACTGAAGTAGGAGATTTGGTCAAACCACCACCACCAGCAGTATACGACGGCGCTGGGGTCGTTTCGTTTAGCTTGGGTGGTCTGGTAAGATTGGCACCACCTTCGAAGGAGGATGGAGCCGGTGTCTTCCCAGAGTTTGGTGGCTTGCTTAGTTTGCCCCCACCAGAAATCGATGTTGGTGGGGTTTCCCGAGTCAAATTGCCCCCACCCGAGGTGGACGTCGGGGCTGTTTCGCGGGTCAAATTGCCCCCACCCGAGGTGGACGTCGGGGCTGCTTCGCGGGTCAAGTTGCCCCCACCTGAAATGGACGTCGGGGCTGTTTCTCGGGTCAAGTTGCCTCCACCTGAAATGGAAGTTGGGGCTGTTTCGCGGGTCAAGTTGCCTCCACCTGAACTGGATGTTGGGGCTGTTTCCCGGGTCAAGTTGCCTCCACCAGAAATCGATGTTGGGGGTGTTTCCCGCGTCAAGTTGCCTCCACCCGAAACCGATGTTGGGGCCTTTCCTCTAGTCAGTTTACCTCCACCCGAAATTGATGTTGGCTTTGAACCAGGCGATCTAGTGATGTCTCCTTCTCCAATGAGCGTCGTGGTAGGTGCAGCGGACGGTGATCCAGGTACTCGGGAGATCTTTCCCTGCCCAACCATCTCTGCTGTGGGAGATTTCGGCGCTCGCGTGATATTTCCTCTGCCAAACTCTTCAGCAGGCGACCCGGGACGTGTTATATTGCCTCTGCCAAACTGATCTGATCCGGGAACCAGTAGGAACTGCGGAGACTTGGTCAGGCGACCATCTCCAGTCAACCCAGCAGAAGGTCGAGCAACTTTGCCTTGTCCTGCCAACTCCTCAGCTCTAGGAGGCCGCGTCAGGTTGGCCGCGCCCGAAACTGAGTCCTTGCGCTGCTCCTTGGGTGGCCGAGTCAATGACGCGAAGCCAGATGTCACCCTGGAATCTCCGGCACGATCCCTCTGGACACTGCAAAACCCTTTGCTTCCTTTGGAGGTCTGGTAATACTTCCTCCTGCTCCATACATGTATGGCTGGTGCCACTTCTGCACTTGCCCAAAATTGGAAAAAACGTCAGTAGGATCACATGTACAAGGCAATGTCATGCTGTATCCCGCATTGTGTTCCTCTTGCAAGTCCACATTTCCACACTCAGTTGGAGAAGGCACATTGTATCCTTTGAACACTGGGTCACGGACTAACAAGAGCACATACGCAACCAGGGTCTCAGGATCGCAAAAGGCAGTGTAGGTTTCAACAGGTCCATAGGCGACGTTGGTGTTGACATCACAAACACGGTTTTCACCATCCGGAGGGGCAATGTAGACCGTCTCGAGAGTATCAGCTTTAAATTTGGGACTGTTCTCAGATGCCTGAGTGGCGTTGGCAGGCGAGGTGAACCAAGTTTGGGAGACTGTAAACGTCACTGTGACGTTGTTGGCTGCAATAATCTCGATCGGCATTTCAATTGGATAAGGACTGTCATCAACGTTATGCATATCAATAAGACATTGTGGGTTGCGGCCAACTGATCCAAAGGCATTGGCATTGGAAATCTCATCGTCATCCGTGTAGTTGAAGAATCCAGTCTCCCCAGCCGGAATCTCCTGGGTTGGCTCCAAAACAACTGTGGGTTCTTCAGAGATAGTTGGCTGTTCAGAAGTACAGAACCGCCCATCAAGCATGTTACCATAACAATCATCACGAGTAGGTTCCTGAGTTGCCAACGTGCCACTGGGTACCGAGTTGACGAAGTTTGATCCCCGAAGTACAGACGCACGATTTGCGGAAGCAGTACCAGTCCCGACATTGCTCTGAACGACCGCGCCTCCGTTTCCGAAAATCGAACCAAGGCTGCCTCTGTTAACACGTCCGGCACTGTTATCCTGAAAGGTGCTGGAAGGCTGATCGTTGACATTTTCTCTGGCAACAGCTCCGACACCCGTACCTTGGAAGCTCAACGAGGGTTGATCATTGAAATTACCTCTCTCAACTCGTCCGACACTTTACCTTCATATCCAACCGAGGGCCGATCAACTCCGGCTTCGGCCTGTCCAATCGAAGGCTGATCGACTGATGGTTCGGTACCACCAGTAAATTGACCTCTGTCAACTCGTCCGTTGGCAGTTTCCTTATAGGTCACTGCAGGTTGCTGACCTCTCTCAACTCGTCCGCTACCTTTGCCTTCGTAACCAACAGAAGGTTGATCGACTCCTGCTAGGGCCTGTCCAATTGAAGGCTGATCGACTGATGGTTCGGTACCACCAGTAAATTGACCTCTGTCAACTCGTCCATTGGCATCTCCTTTGTAGGTCACCGATGGTTGCTGACCTCTCTCAACTCGTCCGGTACCTTTGCCTTCGTAAACAACAGACGGTTGATCGACTGATGGTTCAGTACCACCGGTGAAACTACCTCTTTCAACTCGTCCGGTACCTTTACCCTCATAACCAACAGAGGGCTGACCGACCGGCGTTTCCTCACCACCCGTAAAAAGGTCTTTTGAAACTCGTCCTGTGCTATCGTACTCCATCGGACTCGGCTGATCTCTGTTGACTCGACCCACACCTCTGGCCTTCAAACTAGCAAGAGTAGGAGTCTCGCCGCCTTCTTGCTGCTGCAGATCGATAAAATTATCACGGGAAACTCGTCCTGTACTATCGTACTCTGTCGCTGAAGGTTGATCTCCTCGTCCGACCCGTCCCGTGCCGGTGCGCTGGATCACCGACGGTGGAATACCTTGACCTTTGGATGCTTCTCCCGTAGCGGCGTGCTCGGAATCAATCGTGCCACCTCGGGAAGCTTTCCCAGTGGCCTTGTGCTGTACCGTGGGCACACCTGCTACTGGAGACGCACCCGGAGCTGCACCCGGGGCATCCACCACAGGGGCCGCGCCTGGGGCATCCACTACCGGGGCCGTACCAGCCGTATCTACCACCACGGGAGCCGCGTTCTCACGAGATTCCACCGTTCCAAATCCTTGCAACAAACGCAAACAATCTGGATCATCGGGGGTATCCAGACATTTTACAATCAGTTCGTGGGATAAAGTCGGTGCATTGGTAATGGTGCTCGTTGCCTGGGTCGGATCGTGACTGAGACTCGTGACTGAAGTATCTTTCTCACTACCACCACCACCATGGCGGTCGGAATTTTTCATGGGAGGACAGTACTTGAGTTTGGAGGGATCATCGTAATCACAGTAGTGATCCTTGGGATCCAGTCCAGCCGCTTTGAATTTGTGGACTCGACGGCCCAAGAAACGGTAAAACCAAATGGTACGGTCTTCCACAGAATCCTCTACTCGTTTCAGAACATCGTGAAAGGCTTCGGTGTGCTTCAAGTTGGGATTGGTGGCTGCTGAGCCTGTAGTAGTATCTGAGGCATCTGTAGCGGAACAGACTCGAGTCCATGCGGCAATGATGGCGAATGCCGTCCAAAGGATTTTTTTCTGGAAGTTTTTGCGGATCATCATCTTTAATGAGAATGATATTTTGTATATTGACTGTAAAATTGATAAAAGTGTGTTGTAGTACTGTAGGCAATGAGACAGCAAGTAACTCCTGCTGCTTCTTTCTCTTTGTTGCCGTGTGTCTAGTCTTTCTCTCTTATTCGCGTACGGTAGTATCGCCTTGTTGCAACAAAAACAACAACGCAATGGCCAAAACAAAAAGGGGTCTTTCGTTGGCTTTGCTCTGTAGGCGTGGTTGGTTACAGTTTTGTTTTTTCGCTTGGTCAGAGACTCTGGGGCTCTGTGGCGGTCACGTATGTCCTTGTGCGAATCCAAATTGGGCGAGAATTAGGCCCAAGAGGTTACTGGGAAAAGATCTTGCTTGGTTGGACAGATCAAAGTCTAACAGTGGTGAAATGTTAACAAGGTGGATGAGGTATAATTATAAAGCACCATTTCCGGTACCAGTAGGTGACTGTACCGTACGGTACTGTACCATACCCTAAGATTCGATTTTTTCCGGCAGGTCCAAGATTATCCATCCAAGGCTTGGCTACAGTGCTATTGCAAAGAGTGAGGTTGTACCAGTAGCCGATGATATCTATCTGATGTATGTACATGTAAAAAAAAACTGAACGTCTAATATCGGATTCAGACGAGATGTGCTTGAGGACTACCCACGAGCTAAGGCTCGGGTATTTCCCACAGTCAAGTCTGCTCAACTATGTACATGTAATGCCGATCCGCTAACGCGCACTCCAAAATTATGGGCTTCATACTGTATTGACTTCGTCGCCCGAGCCCAAGAACTAATTTCTTTAGAAAGCAACAGATACACAGAAATAAATCCTTGCCAACTTTCAAAGGACCTTGATACTGCAAAAAAGGGTTGGCATCCATTTTAAACGAGCTGCCCTGTGACTTGCTGATCCTGCATCCTCCATGTTCCCCAGACCGGAAAGCATTCATGTTCCTAGCTACTCTAGTGGAGATGAGGTATATTAGATGCAGCCCCACTAATAGACTGGCTATCAAACAAAAGATGCTGGGTTGGGACGGGATCCCTTGCTCTAGCTCTAGCCCTATCATTCGTGTGATTCTGACTACCAGGTACGGAGCTGACCATTCAAGAGACATTGGTTTCCAAGGGCTTCCTACTAAACTAGTATATTATTAGATATTAGACTCCGTACCACTTACAATGTGAAGACCGGTACTTATTCATCAGAAGTCCCACTAGTTTCTTATGACACTTTCATTCAGGGATACTCCAGTTCAAGAGTCTATGTCTTTATTTGTGGATTGTGGAACTACTTCGTAGTGAATGAATTCATAAGTAAAAAGAACTCTAGAACGAGTGAACGCTACTGAGAAGCGAAACTTTCTTCAACAGTAAGCCTCGTTTCCCATTCATTGAACTCCGATCCAGAACCGGGGCTGCATGCATCTTCAAACTGGTGGCAGCCAACTAGTCTAGACTAGTCGGGTTCCAAGATCACAAAGGTGCGCAGGATCATGGCTTTTAAAATTGCAGCTCTACCTGCACGGTTGCAGAGTACTGGTCGAGAAGCAAGCAATGATGAGCTGAGAGGGCTACCTAGCTAAGACAAGCAGATCGTGGCTTTGCAGCCAGACAGGATTCGGAAGAAATACTAGCCAGGGCTGAAGAAAGAGAGAGAGGAGACAAAGAACACCTTGCGGCTGCAGCCGCGTTATTTCAACCAGCTCTGCCTTCTAATGTCCTCGTCCACTGGGCTGGGCTGCGCGAGAGCTTGAGGGAATTGCTTGCTTCTTGGGGTGAGTGTTCCAATTTGTCGTAGCTTTAATTAGCGAAAAGCGACTCGGAGAGAAAATCTGTCTTTTAAAAATGATCCGTAGTGTTGGCAAGGCAAGCTTCGGTTGTCAGTCCAAGGCAAGGCACTCGAGCATGTCAGAAGCATCAATCTCAAACAATAGACTAGATCTAATTGCAAGCACGAAGCCTGGGAGGCACACCTACCGTGAAGGTTACACGTTGAATGTAAAACAGTCTTTTGGCGGCTTTGCAGGTTAAGATAAAGATCCCGACTGCAAAACACGTCTGAACTCACTTCTTGAAGCTCGGAACAGTCGCCATTGTCCACACACCAGCAAACAGCAAGAAGAAGGACACCATGATGAAACACAGGAGGACAAAGAGCGCCCCTAATCTATTGCAGCGTCAATGGTGGAAAGATACGTGGCCTCTGTGTGATGACAATTCTTTGGCGGCAGGCGGAACTACCGGTACCGTCGTACCGTCGGTGGCACCACCACCAGCTCGGCAGAATCATTTCATCAACCATGGTGGATCCAGCAACTGGCCGACGTAGAGCCCTTTGCCAACCAAATGCCCACTCTCTTCCCTTATCATATTCCCACTGGCTTTAGTGTGGCGGGATGTAGTAACAGTGGGCTTTCAGGTAAGTATTCGGGGACAGGAACATCATCAAAAGCTTCATGGTCCATCCGAAGCGTGGGAGAGCTCATGCTGACAAGCGGAAGTGTCCCGAAAGGACATCACAGCAACATGGATGCAACCCAAACGGAAGGCTCTGTTGAGAGAGTTCCACAAGAAACCTTGATTGACATGATACAGTCAGACGAACGGGGCGCGTTGACCATAGGAACCTTGCATGACATCATACTGTCACAAGACGGGGAAAACAAATTAACCCTACAAGATGTGTTCGATCGCCTCGGCGGCAGCGGAAGCAGTTCGTCGGAAGAACATCGGCAGTTTTCCAGCCAGACAGCGACAATGGCTACTCAGCAGATGGCTGAAAGCGCCTTTTGTTCCCTCCGTGAGCGCAATGATTTGACACCGGAGGATCAATCTTCCAACAAGGCGTCAGACAAAGAAAAGCTTGACAACCCACTATCCTTTGCAAAATCAAGTCCAGAACGTGCGGATGAAACAGCCGACGTGGCTCCACTGCCAGAATCAGCAACGCCTGCGCAATCCGACTGCGTTGCTATTGTTACTCCTCATGAACACGATGTGTTATGTTGTGGTGGTAGAGGCGACTTTGTGAAACAGCATCACGCTGGCAATCAGAACGAAACGAAGGCGAACGGAAGGATGCTTTGCTCTCAGGGTGGGATCTCGATAGCTCGTGCCAAGATGTCGGGCCCTAGCATTCCATCCATCACCAGCTGCAGCACTAGCATGTTTGTGGAACCATCGAAACCAGTTTCGTCCCACATCACCACTGGTCCCATGGAGATGATTGCCGATCTCAACAACATGGGAGTCGAACTTGTTGACTCCTCCGAACTCCATGAAGCCACTCAATTGTTTCGAAGAGCATTGTCCAAGGCAAACGACATGGCTTTCTTTGCTGGCTCTTCGGCACGGTCTCCCATTGGCGAGAACTCGGACGCTTCCAAGAACCTTTACATCTACCAACGGGGAGAATACGACGAAGGCATGCACACCTTCTCCCAACCAATCATGATCGACGCCGAACTTGCATCCATCCACACTAGCGTTGCTACCATCCTCTACAATTTGGGCCAAGTTGCCATCTGCACAAACAACAACCAAGAAGCCTGCACATCCTTCCTCCGCGCTCTTCAGATCTTCCAGTGTGGCTCTGACTGCTGTGCCAACAGCATGAAGGCTCTTAGCCACGCTGGAGGTGTCACTGTCGTCGCCATCTTGTCCAATATCGGAAATGTCCTCTACCGAGCTGGTCGCTTTGAAGAGGCCATTCAGACTTTCCAAAAGGCACTCGAAGTCAGCACTTCCGCCGCTGCCGCTTGCACTCATCAAATGCTCGAAGTTTCCGCCACTTCTCGGAGTCCTCTTCTTCCACTTGCCCAAAGCCAACACCGAAAAGGCACTGGCTTACTACAAAGAGTCCCTCCGAATTCGTCGCAATGTCCTCGGACAAGATGCCGCCACCAAGGAGGTCGCCACAACAATGAACAACATTGGCCGCTTTCACTACAAGAAGGGCGATCTTGATCAGGCTCTCCGCATCTACTCGGAGGCTTTGACCATGCGCCATCAGCTCTTTGGTGATGATCACCTCGACATTGCTGCCGTCTGCTACAACATGGGCCAAACCCTCCACCAAAAGGGTAGGTTGGATGACGCCATGGAACTCTACAGTGGATTTTTAAAGATTGCCCGCAAACGCCTTGGGTGCAACCACCGCGATGTCGTCATCATGCTCAAGTGCATTGCGCAGATCCACCATGAACGCTCCGAATTCGAACAGGCTTGCAAACTGTACCGTGAAGCCTTGCAGGTCGGAGAAGCAGCATTGGGAATGAACCACCCAGAGATCGCCTCCACGCTCAACAAGCTTGGAAACCTTCTCTACAAAAGCGGAGACGCTGAGGGTGCCATTCGTGTCTACAAGGAGGGATTGAAGGTGGAACGGGCCGTCTTGAGCTCCTGCCACCCCAACATTGTCGTCACTTTGACCAACATTGGAGAGATCCACAAGCTCCGTGGCGAGTATCACGATGCCCTTCGTGTCTACAAGGAGGCCGTCCAGATCCAACAACGCAACCGCGAAAGTTCCACCACAGACATTGCTGCCACACTCTCTGCCATTGCCTTGATCCACTCCCAAGCATCTGCGAGAGAGCTCGCAACTGGTAGGTGCGTATCTTGGTTTCGGGCTTCAGATGAATAGGAGGTAGATTGGGAATGCTGTGGTCACTCTGGAAATCATACTGTTCGGCAAGGGGATGCCCGAGCTCAATGGCTCTTTGCCGGACCTGGTCCACCTGGCTTGGATCTATTGGAAAGCACTCAACTCCAAGTGCTTCTTCTGGGCCATCAGCAGGTTCCCCAGACACACAGCTATTCCAAGGCCTTGGAAGTCTACCAAGAGGCTCTTCGTATCCGCCGCGATGCCTAGGGTGATGAAAACTTGGAAGTGGCATCCACACTCAAGGCAAGGCGAGTAAACTACTTTCAGAGTTGAGCCCACAGCCACAAGGAGCTCGTAGCTGGTAGACCACAAGTGCCAAATCAGCCTAACCGGCAACACTCGGTTTGAGACCACTCCTACAACCGTAGCAGACACCCCTATGTGTGGGTCATCATTTGACGGTGACAAAGCGGGTCTATTCTTTAACTCTAGCAAACGAAAACGAGTGCGTTTTAAACACCCATTGGCTGATGCTCAGTTGCAAATTTGTCACAAAAAACACATGGTTGTTCACGCACGCTGCTCCGGTCTCTGGGTGATTGCCTCAAAGGAGGTCAGGATTGTCCTTGATGATGAATGATCCATGAATCCAAGATTTGCCTACCGGGGCTCTAGCCAGCGAGCAAATCACACAAACGTTTTCACACTTGCACCCCAAAACAGAGCCCCAAAATGGACTCGGCAGCGGATACGTCGGTATCTCTTCATGTGGATGGCATCCTTTCCGTGCATGCCTCTTGGACTTGCATCAGACCGGCACATCATTGGAGAGAGGGCCGTACTGTACAAATAAGGGTTCTGAGGTGAGGAACACTCATTAGAATGGTCATGATGACTACCAATATTGCAAAAGGCAACCGCTAGTGAGGCTTTATAGCGACCGGCAGAGGCAGCAGCACGCCAAGAACTGCTACAAACACCAATGGACAATTCAGTGCGTTCCTATCGATAGCTGTAGCAGGGGCTACCGGCAGTCGTTTCTGTGTCAATAATGGCAGTGATGTCCATTTTTGACAACAACGTCTGGCTGGTCAGTGGCATGGAAACTCTTTGAGCTACCTGAGCCACCAGACCTTTCAAACGTACTGGCAACGAACAGAAAAAGTGGTTCGTGGGTTTTTGGTCAATTGATCGAGGATCTGTAGTAGGCAAGATGTCTAAAGTTTATGAACCATCAGACAACTAGCCAAGCAGACAAAAAGGCCAAGGATGGTATGCTGCTTTGCATGTTCTACAGAAGCTCATGCATTAGGCTGAGATATGAAGTCCCAAACCCAAGCCCTAACGCACAGATCCACAACCATATACAAATAAGCTTTATGCCATTGGCAACCATTCTTGATTGCGTATTTCAGCACCTCCAAATTGCCCTTTGCTGCAGCTGCAGCGCATGTCCGTTCAGTCCACGGACAGCCGTGTTCATGGGCATATTTGAGAATTTCCAAATGACCACTTTCCGCAGCTTGGCTGCATGTCATATCATCCCAACCGCAACCATTTTCATGGGCATATTTGAGAATTTCCAAATGGCCATTGGCGGCAGCTCTGGTGCATGTCGTTGAATGCCAAGGACATCCCTTTTCATGGATATATTTGAGAATATCCAAATGGCCATTCTCTGCAGCGTGGCTGCTACATGCCATTGAATACCAAGGACACCATTTTCATGGGCATATTTGAGGATCTCCAAATGGCCGCATGCTGCCGCATTGTGGCATGTGCGGCAATCCCAATATAATCCCTTATTCCGTACCAATTGAAGCACTTGAAGATTCCCCACCCTGGCAGCTGCAGCACAGATTTGAGAGCCACGAATCCTTCGTCCAGTTCCAGTTTGCCGATATGTGCACCAATACTCTGTGCGCGACACAGAGGAGACAATAGCAGTAAAGAAAGTATCTGTCTTTGTTGCAGAGCGTCTCACCCACGTAGAAGCATCCTCGATCTTTGGACGCTTCTCCACAGTGTCACAGTAAGTCTGATAGAGGTTCTTCATGTTGTGGTTGACGGGTGCCACAAAGGCAAAGTGTCCCATACCAAGAAAAGGGAAAATCTGGTGGACCCAGATATCTTTGTGTTGCAAACAGGAGTCTGCTTGGGCACCATCTTTAGTGGAAACCTCCATAATAATATCAACATCATCTGTTTGCTTTGCTCGCTTGTGTAGCTCTGTAACTGTCAAGCTACAGTCTACTGGTACCAGCCCTCTCTTGCCCATGTCTTGCTCCATGTTGCCTTCTTTGTTATTGTATTTTAATATGGTCTGAGACAAAAATTCTGGATAGATTTTTGGCTGGGAGCCAGATTTGGCCCATGTTATGTGCCAATAATAAGTGCACCCGCACCCACATTATCAGCTAATAATTTGGGTAGCAGACTTAATAGACCAGTACTAAAAGCACTCTCTGATGCATCCCAGCAATTAAAGGTCAGGCCAATTTCTATCACCAAACCGAAAAACCTGCAGGAAGTTTTGTCTCAGTTGGTCTGCAATCGGCAAAGCAACAGATGATCCGATCGTCGCTACTGTGCATAGTATTAACTACCACCACCACCACCATCCAAGCTTGGCCGACAACAATGATGGTGAGTGCGCCTTTGAATCGATCGATCGAACCACTGATACGGTACGAGGTAAGCCTATTCTCAAGAGTGTTAATTGAAGGTACAGCACTGATTTCTCTCCCTCAATGGATTTCTATGGTATTCAGGAGAGAAATCTGAGCTCGGCCGTCAACAGGTGAGTTGTTTTAATTATTTGAATCGATTCGGTCGCACCTCTATTATCCAAGCCTCACTCAAGCCGACTGTCTCCGGTGCAGATTGGAAAGCCATCCTTATTGAATCCTATGGATGATGGGATGGCAGTCAGTTCTCAGCCATGGACGGCCAAGTTGGTGCAATTTGAAAAACAAGGGTAAGTCACCGGTCGTCTGCAGTTGATCACAGAAAACAAAACTCATATATATTTGTTGTTTTCTCTGCTGCACTGCCGACGGCCGATGAAATACCATTGTCGACGATCGATCGCTACAGTCGGTCGGTTGATCCGGATAACAAGAGGAGAGGCTACCGCTACGGAGGAGACTGTTAACTCAAGCCCTACCACCACCAGCCTGAACGTCGTCGAGTCATTGAATGGCAACAGTCGTCAACCGGAAGAGGAGGAAGCTACTCGACAAACACATGATCTTGATCGATCGATCGCTACTACTGTTAACTCCAGCCGTTACCTCCAGCCCTACCAACAGTCTGAACAGAGGAGCCTATCGTCGTCGAGTCATCGAACATTGAAAATAGTTGTCAACAAGATGAGGCTACACGGCAACACGCAAACGCACAAGAGAGTGGATCCTACTACTGGATTCATCCCTCCAGTGGTAGTTCCTAGTGTTTTGGTGGTGATTCCTGTGTCAGTACCCATTTTCCTGCATGCACTACAAGTCGTCGAGCGACGCGGCGACTTGGTTGTCGTCGTACGATGCAATAGATAGATAGAATTCTATCTAGTAAGATAATAGAACGCTGATTACCAACCAATAGACCATACCCATTACACTAGCTAGAGACCTTGTCGATTCGATTCAATAGCATTGATAAACTTACTCGGACCTCATCGAGTTTTGAATCTACCTGTGTCAACTATGAGAAGTTTGCGCCATCCTCAGAATGACTCTGCACCATAATCCCTACGTAGGTTTTGTACTGAGCATAACGGGCGGAGACCAGTAATAGACCGTATACAAAAGGAGGAGCCCAGCCAAAATCCATTTTTGGCTGCAGTAGAATCAGTACTGAGTCACGGTCCCTTTTCAATCACAGCGTTTTGCCACAGACTTTTTAATGAATAATTAAAATAATGTGATTGGCCTCTACTAGTAGCTAGCTAGCTAGAGGTATCTTCGTGTCTTCGCTGTCTTTGCTGTCTTCGTGTCTTTGCTGTGCTTTTCCACGATTTCCGTTCGACCTCTGTTACTCCGCCAGCTTACAGCCTGCTCGACTGAGTCAATTCTTTTACAACTTTGCATACTTGAATCTTTTTGGGATCTTTGGTCCTGCACACCGGTTGAAGATCTTTGCCAACCATCACATCACAATCACTCTGTTTCTATTTATTTTCAGAACACAGAACACTCCCGTGCAGCTAGATAGCAGATAGATAGAGCACCATGGTGGTGGGTGTGATTGCTGGTGTGGCGATTGGTGCCGCGGGTACTTGGCTGATTACGTTGTTCAAAAAGCGAGATGGCAGCTTGCCACAAGGAGAACAACAGCAGCAGCAACAGCAAGTTCTGGAACTGTCCCAATTGACAAATAATGGAGGAGGACCGATGCCCCATGTGGCGTTGGAATCGAGTTCATCGTTGCTGTCCGCCTTGTTGTACCAGCTGTGGCCGCATCTGAATACGATGATGGGATCGACCGTGAAGGAATCGTTGGACAAGACGTTTGCAGAATCCTTACCGTCCGCACTACAAAAGATGCACGTGGTCAAGTTGGATTTGGGCGCCCAACCGATTCGGTTCGAGAATTTTGTGGTGCATCCCTTGATGGATAGCAGCGACTGTCTCAAGATTGAACTAGAAATCAATTGGGATTCTTCGTGTGACGTGTTGATTGGCGGAATTCCTCCCGGCAACAATACCATTGGCGTCAAATCGATCAAGTTGGAGTCGCGATTGGTCCTCGTTTGTCGGCCCATTTTGAAGCAAGCACCCGTCGTGGGAAGTCTCCAATTGGCATTTGTCAATCCTCCCTTTATCAATCTCGATTTCACCGGTCTGGCCAATATTGCCGATTTTGCCAATATTCGACCCATGGTCGACAAGGCCATTCAAGATGGACTCGCCGCCTCTCTGGTACTCCCGCAACGCATGTTTATCCCCATTGCTGCTGATCAGTGCGATTTCATTCAAGCCTATCAACGACCCTTGGGGGTACTACGTGTGCGACTTGTGCGTGGAAAAGACTTTCCCGTGCTCAAAAAAGGATTGGGCATGCGGGATGTGCCCGATGTCTATTGTTCGCTGCAACTGGGCGGTAGTGACTTGTGGAAATCGTCCGTGTGCCAAAATTCCACCACACCGGAATGGAATGACACGGTCGATTTGCTCGTGTCGGATTACGGACAATTACTGGCGTTGCATGCCTACGATACCGACATGATGACGGAACACGACATGGGGACCGTATCGTGTACCGCCGGACAGTTGCTGGCGGAAAATACCCACAAGGATGCCACCACCAAAGAACTCGTCTTGGTGGCTACCACGGATCCCAAAGATCCAACCATCATTGTCACACCCAAAGCATCCTTGGGAGGCAAGGTTACGATCGAGTACGAATTCTTGCCCTTTGAAAATGATGTTACCAGTATTCTGCAAAGCAAACCTATTTCCGACAACGGTGCAACAACAACAACGAACAGTAAGATGCCCCGTATGCTGCAAAACAAGCTTTCTAACAACGGCGGCGCAACAACAAAGGACAGCACAATGTCCGGCCTTCTCCTTGTCTTTGTGGCAAAATTGGACAATCTACCCGTCGCTGATAAAACCGAGGCCGCGTCCTATATCAAAGTGACTGTTCTAGGCATGGAATTCAAGACCAGCGTCGTCAAGTACAATCCAGAAGCAGCACAAGAAGCAGACGAAGCCAGCAAGGAAGACAACAACAAGGAAGAAGAAGGAGAAGCAACAACGAAGGACGAGGACCAAAAAGCCGTCGATGCATGTCTCCATCCCGTCTACAATGCGGCATTTCAAATTCCCATTCCCGTCAACCAACCGCCGCCATCCGGTGGCATTGTCTTTGAATTGATCAATGGCGACACGTCTCTAGGAACCAAAAATATTCCACATGAACTATACATGGCCATGCAGGACGAACTACATCAATCGACTCTCAATATCGGTGGGGCCATTCTTCATTGTGGTGTCCAAGCACTGGGGTTGCCAGTAACAACCACAGCAGCAGCAGCGGAAACAACAACAACACCTGGTGATCCCAATAATGTATAAAAATCTATGTCCTCCCCTAGCTAGCGAACTTGAGACCTACAGTACATGCTCTATAGAGCTTCTGAAATGGGCAATCATCTCGAGATGAAACGGATCGAGATGAGAAACGGTACGATTGCGAGACAGAAATGTACCGCGTCCCAGGGAGGTTTGCCTATATCTTGCATCCACTAACATCAAACCATAGCCGACCCCTGTCGCTCCACTGTGTGCTCCTGTTGCATTCTTTTCGCAGTTGTTTCGTCCCGTCAAGTAGAAGTTTCTCCACACAAAGCCTCCAGGACTGTATTTCCCGTTCCATGTCGTCCTCCACAAATGAGTGACACCCTGACTCTTGCGCTGGAAGTGTTCGCACGTTTCCCTGTCGAATCAACTACAAGCACCGGAATCCATCAACTATCTCTTATTGAAGACGTTCCGACCATCTCGCTTTCTTTTGAATTGCAGATCCTTCTTATTAGGGAGCCAACGATGGCACAAGCACAGACTTCACGTCCGTTGAACTTCAGCTTTCTCTTTGGATCGGATGCTTCTGCCTGTTTGCTGGTCCATCAATATCTCAGAGAGGGTTCCTTGAGATTGAAGCGTTGACCGTGAGGTAAGGTTCACGGGACGGGACCGGTACCGGTACAGTAGACAAAAACTCCTCCGCCACCCCAACCAATGACGCCCGAAAGGGTTCGGGGTGTTTTTACAATTCAGCTCTGCTGGCGTTCCGCTTCGCCTTCGAACGAGGAGAGAGAAGAGAGAGGCCACTCCGTCAATGCCATAACCTTGTTTGGTGCCCCCTCAAAACCAAACCATGGCTCCAACAGCAAGTGATACAAAGCGCCGCGGCAGCAGCGACATGGCTACAGCTGTCAGTATGAACAAAAAGGTCAAGACGGACACAGATGTTGCGTCTCGAGCAGCCAAGATTCTCCAAGAAATGGACGAGGCCACAACCGACCGCTACGAGGAGGATGCTGCCTTTCGCAAAGAGTATGGTCCCAGTGTAGCACACTATGGTTTTTGTGGGGAAAATTTGTCCTTGGAGGGTCTCCAAATTGTCTTGGACTATGGTCACGTTGGTAAGTGCTCATCAACTGGTTGGGATATCTGAAGTCTGATGGGTTTTGGGTGTCGTGCATAAAAAGTGTGGGATTTGTTTGTTCACTGGTGTGTGGCGTAATTTAGGCACCTGTGTCGGCACTGTACGGGTTGATGATAGTGATGAGTTGAAGACTGCATGGACCTGCTCTCCCAAGCATGATGAGGAGTTTGTGTTCAAAATGGAAACTGATCAAGTTTTGGCGTACTATTTCCTTGGCAAGGACTCCGGCAAAGAGCCTGACTGGGTCAAGAGTGACACTGATGAGGTGGATTATGGCAAATATGCTTCTTCATTCCTCTCCCTTCCAGAGAGTGCCAAGTTGGTCAACTGGGCTGTTCCAGTTTCGGCCAATGATTTCTTCCCGGATATTGTGGATGCAGAAGATCCTGATGAACGCTGGTGGGCCACCATGGCACGGCTGAATGATCCAAAGGCGGCCCATGTGATTGGTCCTGGTATCAAGGGATTTCCAACACCCATTGTCTTGACCATCGTTCTCCTCACCAAGGACTTTGACCCGGGCAGTACCAATTTGCCCACCCTCGTCACCAAGGACAACAAGGAGGTCTTCGCGCTGGCAGACCAGTTCACCCGTCAAATCAACAATGGATCACAGATCCACAAGTTGGAAAAACTAGTCCAAAATGTTTCTTCTGCGGCCAAGAAGAACAAAAAGAATAATTGGCGCAAGGCCTACATTCAGGTCCATGCATTGATTCTGACTCTGTCCGATAACTTTGAGGCGTCCAATAACAGTTGGACATTTACAGATGACTGTGAACGGCAGGACAAGATTGCAAAGAACATTGTCCAGGTTGTGGCATCAGTCCTTCTACATCCACCCTCCAATGCCATGAAGGCTCTTGTTGACAAGGATATGACAACATCTCTTCGTGAACACTTGAAGGCTGGGTCCTTCACACAGTTTGTGGAAGAAGATGAGTTTGCAGAGGACTATCCCAAGCTCTTTGAAGCATGGACACAACTTGTTGGAAAGGAAGATGAAAACTAAGTTGGCACGAAAGGACGAAGCCTGGTGGTCCTACTGATGGCTTGGGGAAATGACAGACTCGCGACAAATGGACGGGATGAGTCTTGCGGCTAGCACTTTGAATTCTTTGGATTGCGTTGCTGGCTCATTGCACCGTGCCCGCTGCTATTACATCGATTGTTCTAAACTAGTCATATGCGCTATCATGCCTTATTCAAAGTTACTCTCGTGCTAATGAGTTTGCGGGCAGTGCCGGCCCCATACCTTGTACCATGTGCATCCCTACTTGCGTGTCCAGTCTAGATCCAAGTTACCAACCATGAAGAGCTCATCAGTTTTGCCGACGAGATCCTTCGCTTCGGCCATCGTCATTACAGCTTGACTGGAAGCTCTGAGCAACTCTCTTGTTGTGGCCGTGCCGTCTGTTTTGGGAGGCACAACGAAAATATTGCAAGTATCCGTGGTGGTCCAACCCGCCTTGTCCGTGACAGTAACCACCGCTTTGTAGAATCTCATCGTCGTAGCAGCTCCTGAGATGCACAAACGATCCTCCGCCGTAGCGCCACAGGTCGTGGGAGACACAAACAGTTTCGGGGACTCGATGAAGGGGCCTCCCGTATTCTTTTGGCTGCTCCTGGACTTGGCCATTACAACGCTGGTCTTTTCATCGAATTCGTTGCTTTCCACGGAAAGAGTCACGGTCAAATGATCCGAGCAAGAGTCCTGATGAACAGTTATTGAAGAGGAATTAAAAGCATATATTAATAGCGTGAGTAGCTGCTTTCACAGGTCCAATAGCCATGCCCCACCCTCAAGTTGGCTGCTTACCTCCACGGTGACACGAAGGCCCGTGTTCACCTTGGGACCGCTACCTTCTTCCACAAAGAGGGTCTTCTTGTCACCGGACACGAAAAGATGCGAAGGACTCGAGGCAGTGTCTAGAAAATCACAAGACAGCGTTGGTGGCTTCGAATCCAGCAACAAGGCGAAGCTTGTGACGGGACCGGTGTGGTTCTTTGCTTTGTTGCCACAGTTCCTGGCTACTACGGGAGTGGCATCGACTTCCACACTGCACTCTTGCTCGCCCGAAACGGCCAACTCCAAGTGTTCGAGCCCTGACGCAGTGGACTCCACACGCAACGTTTCATTCAGGAAAGTTACAGCTTCGGAGACGCTGGAAAAGGTAGGGGTGGTCACCTGAAAGGCGCCATTTCGGCCAGGAATATCAGGATGTGCTGGAACCATCAGCTTGGGTGGATCTGTCGATTCGCATGAGTCATCCTCCAACAAGAATCGTCTGCGGACAGGGGTACAGGTGTCGGTAATGTGTGAGTAAAGAGCTTCGTACTTTGTTTTGGCGTCGACCATTATCTGGTGTCGGATTCCATCCGGTCCGTCAATCTTTCTTTTGTTCTCTTCAATTAAGCCTTTCAGGATTTCCCTTGTGCTTTCGTGTTGCAAATTGGCAGCATCTTGAATGGCGGAGTTCTGGCCGCCGATTACTTCGAAACCCTCTTGCAGCAACACCATGTTGTCGTACAGTGTCATCACGTTTTCATAGATTTCATGCTTCTCGAACTCTCCAAGAGGGGTCGGATCTGCGTACACCATGTACTCCAAAATCTGAAACAATAATGGAATCAGAAACAGTCTTCTAGCAGCGGGCATTAAAACCCATCAAGCAAGCGAGTTACTTACCCGACTCGCAGTCCACAGGATAACTGCGAGAATGACCTTTAGAAAATGGTACGGAGAGTGCAGGAAGTCAGACAACTTGTTCCTGAAGATTCTCAGAAGACATCTGTCGTATAGCTTACCACTGCAATGTTTTTGCCAATGGCGCAGCCTGTTTTCACGGCTCCCGTCAAGTCCTCAGGGCATTCAAAGGACGAACCAAGGTTGTAGAGCTCCTCGCTGATCAGCAAACCCATTTCAAATTGGTAAATATTCCTTGCATACTGGTCAACGTATGCAGCAGATACAGAAGCTGAAAGCAAGGAGGGGCGAGCGAGAGACGTGAGCTGGATTCAGTGGGTGAGATATGCAAGCTGCAGAAGGTTCTTCAACTCACGAACAACGGGCTCATTTAGTGGAGGCAAAGGTGCAATCGTCGGTGCAGGGGGGGACGTTGGCAGCGGTGCAGAAGTTGGCATCTCAGTCGAAAAATCGGCATTTGATCCATCAAGGTCGGTCTGAAGAGGTATCCATTGTGAGTTTCAGTAAAACAAGGAAGGCACGAATGACATCAGAGATGCGGTGCTTACGAAGGTCTTGCTGTGTCGTAGAAACTTCACGTCCTCGCTGCAAGTTGCAAGCAAAGGTGACAGCAAACGGGTTGTGAGTAAACTTGATCAAGATTTCATTCATTATGTGAGCGGAGAAACCTCAGGTGTGACAGTTTCTCCGCTCACAATTTAGCATCACGCACCAAATTTCCTGGTCTGCACCAAACAAACCAAACAAGCTTGGTGAGTTTCGCTTCAAGGCGACGTACTATGTCCGATCTTTGCACATGACGTACCATTGGGCCAATGAGATTCGAAACCAAAGTATTCTTAGCAAGGGTAGGGCACAAGTGAGCGATTTACCGGCCGAATACCACAACGGAAAGTTGGAGCCAAGCGAACGCCTACCTCGAATGCCACCGCACTCTTCGTTGTCAGTGGTATCTTTGATGTCCAGAATCGGAGAGTCAAGGAGGAAATCCCGATAGGAAGCCTTCACAGGATCGGTTGTATTCGCCCACTGAATCTCATCAGTGATACACTGAACCAAAGGAGCGCAATCTCGTGGCTGTGGGGAAAGAGCAAACGATGGTGTAAGCATTCGTGCCGTACACTACTGATCCGAGTGTCATCCCACAAGATCGCGAACCTTACCTTGTAGCAGAAGGTACCAGAGTACAACTGTTTGGAAAAGAAATCAGAAGAGAGGCACGGGTAAGAGAATTGCCTCAATGCATTGGCACTGCTGGATGATTGGACCTACATCACAAGTTGCTTGTGACATGCCTGCCAGGGCGGGGGCTAAGGCATTGCATGCGCTTTTTCCCATGTTGCAATCAAACTTTGGAAAGAAGAGTACAAGCGCACAGTTTTGAGGTTTGACGACGGGAAAGGTCAATCACAGAGAACAGCCAGTTCTCATCCTCTACTCACTGATTGTCCCCACAGAGTATCCCCACTGGATTCTCCGATACCATCCAGACAGCAGTATCCAACAATCATGGAGACGTCCTTGTGGGCACAAACCAAGCCGTTCGAAGTCTTGGCGCCGAGCACCAATTCAGCTGCTAGCATCTTGTCATCGTCCGGAGCCTCCAGCACCGGGACGTCATACCAAGCTTCACTTCCAACACCACCACCATAACCAGTCGCTGGGCACTTGACATCACCATTGATTGTCTTTGGGGTTACTGTTCCTCTGCAGATGACATGTCCATTCTCGCCATTCGCAATGAAGCAATCCCATGAGTTATCGCATTTGAACAACAATGTCGGAAAGCGTCTGCCTCCGTTAATGAAATGGTCGTCAAAAAGATAGGGGCTTGTTTTGGTAGTAATCCAATCCTTGTAGAATCCGTTGACACCCTCCCTGCAACCAGAGATCGTGTTCCACACGTCCCAATGTGGTGGTCCCGCGGTAACAGCTCCCGCCTGGTTATACTTCTTCATTTCAGCATGGCCAAAGATGGCTAACCGGTAAATGCGCAGGACGGAAAAGGTTGTGTGAGACAGAGTTAGAGAGAGAGAGAGAGAGAGAGAGAAGTGGCAACCAACCAGCCAGCCAGCCAGCCAGCCAACCAACCAAACGGAGAAGTCTTACCGTATTTGTATTTGTACTCGTAGAGATCCAAACCGAAGTGCAGTTTGCCATGTTTATCAATCGCGTTATGGTTGATGGCCTTGGGAAAACGAATGTCGGAATTCCAGCCAAAGAATGAATGAGCGTGAGAACCATGATCTAGCTTTGTGGTACAAGCCACGAGATCCTGAAAGACCGTATCGGCATAGCTTGGTCCAACTTTGGCACTGATCTCACTCAGCTTGATGTACGTGCTATAGTTGTTTGCAAGCAAAAAGTAGATGTGATGAGGTCTTGTGCACAGAGGTTTCTTTGGTCTGAGAGTGGAACCAGTTGCACTTACTTGGATCCTTCCGCGCGACAAACATCGGTCCAGGTAGCCTGAATATGAGTGGAGTAGTCTCCATGGGGTGTGTTCCTGTGAAAGGACGAGAGGAGCATGTTGCACTTGGGCCCTAGCTCGGGTGTGGCCAAGAAATCAGTCCGGTCAAAGAGCGCGAGAGTTGCCCGGATGTCAGCGATTTTCTGGTCCAAGTTATCGGCATCAAAGTTGTTCCTCTTGGATGTGATGTTGCCAGCTACGATAGTAAGAGCAAAGGAATGAATGAATTGCAATTCAAACGAAACGAATCGAATCAGTACAACTTTGATGAGAGTCCGGTAACATGGGCAAGCAAAACAATAACACTGCCTGTTTTGTACGTACCATCGTTAATGTCATCGGCGAGAAAGAAGGCAAGAACGTCATAGGTCGTCCAACTCTGGAGGCACTGGAACATGGAAAGACAATCTTGATGAGGATCCTGAAATGCTGCCGCGGCTTGTAGTTGACGTCCCTGTTCGTCCAACTCCATGGATGCCAGTCTTCGATCTCCACCTGGTGCCGCCGATGATGACGACGAGGCCTTTTTTTCGAAATAGGCCATGTCCCCGCTCCAAAGAGCATCTTGCGCTTTCAAGAGACGGTTGTGTCTTCGACTCGACTGCAACTTGCGTTGGGTGTGAACGTGGGGGTTGTGGTGGTGACCATCATTCTTGTCTTCCTGATTGGATGTCTCGTCTTGGGCTTTGGCTTTCTCGTCCTTAGCTGCTGCTAGATTCCGTTTCTGCTGCTCGCGAGGGCCCCCAATACCAGTAGTAGTAGTAGTTAGATCCTCCGCAACATCGGTAGATATCTTTCGAATGGTAGCTAGGTTGGTCTTGGCTTTGGCGAGGAGCTCGGTGAAGTATTCCGGGATATCGTCTCTGGCTTCGATCAACTCCATGGCCGACTCGACGGTATCCAATTCTTGAACGAGACTCGTAATCTTGTGTGGCATGTCTTTCTTGTCTTCGAGGTCAGTACTAGCAGTGTCTTTGAGCGCAATCAGTTTCTGGACGACTTGCTCCAACTCTTGATCCGCCTTGTTGCTGCTGGGAACTTCCGATGATGAGCCTTCCATGCCATCATCAGCAGCAACAGGACCCATACCATCATCCTTCAAAGCGCTACAAGAAACAAACACCATCAACAACAAAGCGACCAGGAAGAATCGACGCCAAACGAAACGAACAGAGCCATGATGGCGGCGACAGGGACGGAAAAGGACGTCGTGGATCTTCATGGATTCAAGATTCAAGACAAAAGAGAAACAACAGTGTTCGTGGTGGTGTTAACTTTGCAGTTAGTTGCAGAGAGATTGGTTTTGTGATTGTATTTGAGTTTCTTCTTGCTGATTGTTGAGAGAGCAAAAGAATGAGAAGAAGAATCGAATGATTGAATCTAGCTAGCTAGAGCTTTTGTCCTTTGGAGTTTTACTTCATCTCTCTTGCTGTCCCTTGGTCATTCCGCTCGTACCGTAACCGGTGATTGGTAGTCGCGGATACTCAGAAGGAGGTGTTTTGCTTAACCAAATCGTCATTTCAAGTGCACGTACCGGTCACAGCTTGGTTAAGAGACTCTTAATTGTATTTTAGCCATTGGGTGGTAGCAGCTGTTGAAAGCTTGTTGAAACCAGCAAGAAGAGATAGATGTGACTGGTAAAATCCGCGTCTTCCCACGTAGATACTGGTAATTATGACAGCTTGATGACGCAAAGTTGGTCGTCTGTCTATTGTGCCGGTTACTGCGAGTACAGTATCGCGAGTACTGGTACCACCGCAGGCATGGGTGGAAAGCAAATCCTTTGGGCCTTTGAATGGTTGGTTTCTTCGGCATCCCAGACATCACCAAGACGCCTCACATCACACTGGTAACGGAACAACAGTAATAAAAGGCAGCAAATGTGTTACCCTTTTCATTTACCGTAACTGGTCTGGTCTATTCTTCTGCAACAGAAGAGCACATCTCTCTCTTGGCTTCGAAGAGATCCATCAATGTCATAAAATCCATTGCTTGAGTCTTTTGAGTCAAGATCTTCTTCTTCTTTGACACAAACCACAACACTTTGGAATCTCAAAAAGCCAAACCAAGCCAAGCCAAACCAAGCCATGATGATGGTGTCTGCTCTGTGTCCGTGGCGGAGTGTCTTCTTGTTTCTGTTGTTGTGCTTGTGCTTGGGAGCGACCCAAGCAGCCATTGATCATGTTTCGGTAAGTCAAGATGGCAAGCACGTTGTGACCGTGGCCAATGGCGAGCTCTTTTACATGTCTGGGACCAACGTTCACGACGAAGGGGCGTGGCACCGTTATGGCAAACCACCGCACGACTTGGGTGGCCCCACACGTGTCGTACAAGCTAGCGTCGGTAACAACGGGTGGATGTGGGTCATTGTCAAGAGTTGGCGCTATTTTACGTTCGCCGTCAATCCAACCACGCACGAGTGGGTCCAGATGGCGACTCCCGAGTTTCAAGAAATCCACACCACGGCCACTGGATACACTTTTGGAATCCGGGCTTCCGATGGAGTGATTATGAATCGAAACAATGTCAATGCCAATGACATCTCCACGTGGCATGAATACGCCTCCCTCACCGAAACTGGCTTTGCCAAGTCGCTTGCATTGGGCCCGAGTGGTCCATCGGCAGTCAAGGCCAATGGGCAGCTCTTTCAATTCGGTGGCCAATGGTGGGCGTCGGGAATCCATGGATGCCAATCCCTTAGTAGGTACGTGGTGGGTGGTGTCGAAAAAGCCTTTTGGATTCGGGCCAGTGACCAGACGCTGGTCCATGAAGCCGACATGTGGCAAACATGGACGGCAGGGAACCGCCAGTATCCTGCCAATGCCCCCAAAATGATCCAGCTCCAAGTCGCCGCCGACGGAACCACCCTGTGGGGTGTCTCGCAAGATCAAGAGACTCTGCAGTACTGTCCTGGCTCCACAGCCACCACCACCAATTGCAGGACCATCCAAGGACCGGTCTTTGACCTGCATTTGCACGTGTCGAAAAACGGCCAGCATGTCATGGCGACCCACATGGGAGAGGTCTTTTACATGAACGGAATTGCCGCCGACGGGGCTTGGACCAAATTGGGTGGATATTGCCGCAAGGCGTACGTCTCCAACTACAACTTTCAGTTTTGCATTGCCGGAGATCATACTCTGTGGCATCGCGACGGAAAGTTCCCAACCGCACAGTGGGAGCGTGTCGCCAACTTGATGACCATGACGGCTCTTGGACTAGGAGAAACGGGAGCCGAGCTACTCTTTGTTTCCAAGGACAACCGGAATGTCTACAAACGCAATGATTGGAATGAAGGCTATAGCTGGTTTTCCGGACCCGCGGCGATCCAAGTCGACTTGGACCATCATGCCAATACAGGATGTGTGATCGACACCAACTTGGACTGGTACTGCCTCTACGCGGACGGAGCCCGCGTGAATGGCGATGGAAAGGCGCATAGTTTGTCACTCCAAAAGGGAAACCACATGCACGTGGCTTCTGCCGAACCGGGACGAAAGCTGGAACGGTTGCAGGATTCGAAAAACATTGCCGGGAAGCCTCCGATTACACTGGACAATGATCTCAAGTTTATTTCAGCGACGGCGGACAATCGGTAAGAAGAACGCAGTGGTTATGTATACTTTATTCTTGTGCTGTCGCCCTCGATCTGAACTCACTCACCTCTATACCCGGTACTACTTTCTGAACAACACAGAGTCTATGGAATCAGCCAAGATGGCTACGGAGTCATTCACTGCCGCAGTCGTGATCCAAGCAATCACATCGAACGTTGCCATTACATTATCGGGCCACAAGGAGTCCCTCCCAGAGCCTAGTGCAAATACATAACCGAGCAGTACATGTAGTTTCTGTCATTGTCTTCGTTGGTTGGTTTGGGATGCACCTCTTTCGGACCTCCACCGTAGCTCTAGTAGTCAACGAACAAGCATCAAACTAGACAACAGTTTCCGAGTTTTCTCATTCTAGATAGATGAGTTACATACTATATAGGCACGGTTCAGTTCAGGCAACGCAGCAACAGCAACGCAAATCCAAAGAGCACAGTGGTATTCAGATACCTTGTTCCAGCCCCTTACTTCATCCATCCCCACTCCAATAAGTCAAATTGTCATGTTATCCCGGCCATCGGTGGTATACTTCAAGCTTCTCCCAATTGGTTATTTATTTCTCTCCCTGCAAAATTCCCAGAGCTGTGCCGTTGGTTAGACGTCGTAGTCCTATTCACCACCTTCTTCATTGCCGACGAGTTGCGTCCAGGTCTCGGCAACGGCGGGATAGGCTTCAGCAAAGTCATCCTCCTCCACAAAGTCTGAAAACGACCCAGCCTTCAAGTGTTCAAGGAGGAATGCTGCCATATCCTTGTCCACAAGGCCCTGCATTTCTTCAGAGGGAGGATGCAATAGAACAGATGACACCACCTCAACGATCCTTTTGGAAATCTCATCCACCATCTCAAGATCATTGGAATAGGTCCATCCGCGATTTGGTCTCTCAAAGGAGTCAGAGAGAGTCAAAATCAATGCCTGGACCTGATTGTAGGCTTGACGCCAATTGTTCACTTTTTGTTTCTTTACCTCTGCTGCAACCTGCTGCACAAGTTTTTGCAACCTTCCAATCTTTGATACATTTCCATTGCTGAGCTGTCGAGTGAACTTGTCAGCAAGCTCAAACACTTCCTTGTTTTCTTCCGTGATCAGAGTGGGTAGTTTGGTTCCGTAGGAGTCAAGGTCCTTGCAGATGAGAAGGGTGGTTAGTACCATAGTAGTTGGAAATCCCTTGATGCCAGGAGAAAGGATGCGAGCCGCATCTGGATCTGTGAGCCTTGCAACTGTGGCCCGCCAGCGTTCCTTTTTGTTGGGGTCTTCATCATCCAAAATGCCAAGATCAAAGTCACTGGCACACAAGGGAACAGCCCAGTCCACCAACTTGGTTCCTTCTGGAAGGCAGAGGAATGAAGAAACATGCTTGCCATAGTCTTCTTCATTGCTGAACCAGTCTGGTTGTTCCCCAGAGCCTCTGCCGTGAAAGTAGAAGGCAATGATCTGATCAGCTTCCATGTTGATCTCAAATTCCTCATCATGCTTGGGAGAGCAGGTCCACACAGCTTTCAACTCGTCACTACCATGGGCACGTACAGTGCCAATGCAGGTGCCTTTCAAAAGAAACAAGGGAGGGGGTGAGCGAAAAAATCGAAACAGGGTGGCATTGGCCATGTTTCCTCAACAGATGATTACTGCACAAAATCATATCAGTCCATCAGCCAACCAGTCAATACATGCAGCACCTACCAAAGTGGCCGTAGTCCAAGACAATTCGGAGGCCTTCCAAGGCATTATTCTCTCCGTAGTTTCCGTAGTGATCAATGCTTGGACCATACTCTGTGCGAAAGGCCTCATCCTCTGCATAGCGCTCAATAGTCGCTTCATCCATTTCCTCAAGGATCTTGGCAGCCGCCGCAGGATCAATACCGCTGGTGGGTGAAGCCATGGTTGCTACCGGTACCGCGACGTCAAGCAGAAGGTCGCTCGTCTTTCTTTCGAAGAGCAAATTAAAAGCACCTCAGTTGGAAGGATAATGGATGCCGCCGCCTCTGGCTAGGCTTTTCGCTTTCAACAACAGCATTGGGCCTTGCTAGTCCGTGAGGTTTCCTCACGACTTAATTTTGGGGGTTTCAAAAGGGGCTAGACGAAACATTTTTTGGCAAGGCTTCCCTATACTATTTCAGTACAAGAAGCCTTTTTTGCAGAGTTCATCCGGTGGCTTTTGGGCTGCTCGGTAAAGCCACGCTATACCTTGCCACTACAGTATATACATAAAAAGCTGGTGGAAAGGACATGTTGGTCGCCATGAGTTCTTGAAAAAGCTTCGAAAAGAACATTTGCCAGAGATTTATGAATTCCATTGCAACCCATCATCCCTCAACCCTTTACCATGGCACTGGTTGCCACCGGTACCGGTACCAGATACAGTACAGTGTACTGGTAGCAAGTTGTTGCCATTCCTCTCAACTGTTCTAGCGTTCTAGCACTAGCTAGTAGTACTGTTCTACCATATGGTATGCTCTCTTACTTTGTTGATCGATCAGAGTTCATTATGAGAGTGTTTGGACTGGGCACCGGTGCCTTACATTTTTCGAGGGCTTTACAGCAAAAGTACGAGGATAAGGATCGATCATTCGATTGGCTTTCCGTGATAGCAGAGGTGCAATCGATGGACCCAAATAAATGAGGGATGGTTTTACCCCTTATTCAGCTTGAGCAAAATCGCCGTCGAGTAGGGAGACTACACGACAACACTCTCATATTGGATTCATCCCTCCTTGTTGTTTCCTAGTACTGCTTGGTTTTGGTGATGGCTTGGCAAGCACCGTGTATTTCTGGATCCAAAGCCATTCACAAGCAACGCAATGCTAGCTATTGTGTGAAAACGCAACAGCCGTGTCCACAGTTCAGCACAGAGAAAAAATCTCAAATTCCACCACAACTGGCTATCAGAGAGTTTCGATTCAGGTTTTGTCAAAACGGTAGTCCGCAGTGACAGAGATCTTCCTTTCGTGATAGCTGGCTGACATTTGGTTGTTGCTGCTGCTGCATGGAAACCCTGTTGGAGTCAATAGTTGTAGCAGTGAAACTCCATCTTGCGTCATTCGAAGAGCATTTCCCTTCAGCCACAACAGTACGTTTTAGTGGTCGACACAGTTTGCTGGAATGTTTTAGTAGCGGTGCCTGCTGTCAATCCTGTTGTTGTTAATAGTAGCGGTAGTAGCGAATGAATAGTAGTACTAGTAGTGGTTGCTGTTCTTGGAATTGATAAATCTTCTTCTCTCAGTGCTTCCAGTTCTGTTGGCGGCAATGGTTGTTGGCACCAATCAGCTCATGGGCGGAACCGGTCGCGGTGGAATGGCGGTAGCCCATGGTTGGCCGGCAGTATTGTTGTCTGTTGCGCTATTAGTGTTCAGAGCTATTCATCCTTTGGCTCATGGATTCGATTCCAACTGTGCGTAGTTATCCACAAACACCACCAGAGTCTCTTTTTAACCACGTTTATTGCATGGTTTGAACCACTCTGTCTGGCCCAGATGGCATCGACGCTATCCATACCAACAGGCCATAGGAATGGGTTCATTTGTGCTTTTTCGCAGAGGAAAGAAAGTCTGACTGCAGTGTTTGCTACTTGGATGGCTTTGTTGGGAGGGGTTCTTGCATAGCTGTTGTGGCGAGAGTAGACAGCTTGCTTGTGATCGTACCAGTGTTCTTCTAACAGGAGCAAAACTTGTGCTCAAGAGTCTTCCAATAGCTTCCATTCTGTGCTTCAGTATTCAGCGGTACCTGATAGTACCAACAATGACAATGACAGCACTGTACTATGGCTAGTAGTACGTTCGTGGACTACACCGGAGCATTGATGACTTCTTCCTTCATTTGGTTAAGGACTACTTCCACGGAGCGACCAGACGCATCATCTTCTATGGAGCGAGGCTTGCAACGAGCGGTAACTACTCTATGCAAAGTTACCGGAGCAACGATCTATGCAAGGTTTGATCTACCGTGAGCACTTTGAAGGGACGGAAGGGACCGAAGAAGCAGTTTTCCGTGGTCATGGGGGTATCCACCATGTTGGAATGGTAATGATAGTGGTAGCTGGCAGTCACTGTTATCAATGGCAGCGGCTGTTAGGTGCATTTAGCCTTTAGCTGATGGAACTACTGTGCCGTAGTTATCCACAAATACCACCAATGTCTCCTTCCCGCACACTTTTACTACACAGTTTGGACCACTCTGGTGTCCGACCCGGATGGCATCGAGGTTCTCCATACCATCAGGCCAAAGGACAGGGTTCGTGCGAGGTTTTCATGGAGGAAAGTCTGACTGCATGCAGTGTTTGCTTATGGGATGGCTTTGTTGGGAGAGGATGCATGGCTATCCTTGCTTGTGATGAATGAGTGGAAGCGGTGCTTTTTGTGGCTGAATAGATTCGATTCGAGATTCTATTCAATGCTTTGGTGCTACACTACCAACAGCTCTACATGTACCAACACAATTGACAGAATGACAGCGCTGGCATGACCTTGACTATTACATCTGGAGGGAAAATCAAATGAAGAACATAGCTACCGATGGTGGGTCTACTACAGTACCACCAAGCTGGAGCTGGTAGAGTGCTTTTTGAATGGAGCACTTTGTTTTTTTGTGCGTGAACCAGTGACTGGACCCAGTCCTGAAAGAATCCTGAAAGAACTCCATGGAGCCTCACGCCCATTCCCACCATTAGTCCCGATTTAACGGGACAAAGTAACCCTTTCCTTTGTATGGTACCACCTGGTAGAAGTCAGTCAGCCTGAACGTTAGGAAGATGCGGTAAACTACTTCGAAACAATATTTTTAACCTTATATTTACCCGAACGACTGTGCAACTGGTATCGTTTGCTTCCCTCTTTCGATCTCCGGACTGCAGACTCTCACTTGGAGACCCAACAACCAAAGCAATGAAGAAGTTTCGGTAACGTTGCAATATCAAATTGCTATGCTAGCTGGCTAGACTACCACAAGCAGCAACTTCATCATGCCTACTGGGCTCAAGTCGTATTGCGATGAACATGTTTTGTTGCTGAATCGAGACGATATTTGGATTGGAAGGATATTTTCTTTCCTTGGCTTCGGGCAGTGCGCCTTCATAGCCATCAGCAAGCAATTCAATCAGCTCTACAAGGAGTATTGTGACATGGATAGAAATCCTCCTGTGGTGATGGACAGATAGTCTGACGGTGGTAAATGCAGAGCAACTAGCACTGATTCTTATCACAGTGTTGCATTCTGCTATGTACCATGTGCGGAAACTGGCCACGGGATATTCCGCCAACAAAAGCCCGGATCATGACAAGGTCTGTGATACAATCGCCAGGCTCGGAAATCTCATGGTTCTTGAATGCGCTCGTTTCCGACAGGACTTTCCGTGGAGCAAACAGACATGCAGAGCTGTTGCTGAAGTCGGTCATTAGGAAGTGATGGAATGGCTACATGCAAACAATCGCCCATGGGATGAAACTACATGCCGAGCTTCTGCTTTGAATGGTCATCAGGATATGCTCAAATGGGACAGATCCAATTACTGCCCTTGGAATGAAGCTACTTTTGCTGATGCTTCTCAAGGTGGGCATCTGGATATCCTGATGTGGGCTCGTTAGAAAGGATGTCCATGGAACAGTGATGCATGCAAAGCTGCTGCCAAACAAGGCCATTTTGATGTCCTCAAATGGTTGCATGAACAGGACTGTCCTTGGGGTGAAGGTACATGTGATGCTGCTGCTGAGGGTGGCCATTTGGAAATCCTCAAGTGGGTGAGAGGCAACGGATGCAACTGGAATCTGAAGACATGATATTTTGCTGCTAGAGACGGCCATCTGGAAATCCTGATATGGGCGCATGCGAATGGATGCCCTTGGAATGCACTGACATGCTCTGGTGCTACCAGTGGAGGTCATCTTGAAGTCCTGAAATGTGCACGTGATAATGGGTGCCCTTGGGATGCAAATACATGCAGCAATGCCGAAGAATATGGGTATTTTGAAATCCAGCAATGGGCTCATGAGCATGGCTGCTCTTGGGATCCAAGTACATTCCAATCTGCTGCTCGTGGTGGTCACATGAATAGCTTCTTGAGAATGGATGTCCCTGAGATGCAAGGGCATGCTCCGCAGCTGCTTGTTGTGTTCATTTGGATATTTGAAAATGGCGGCATGAAAATGCATGTCCCTGGGAAACAAGGACATGCTCTGGAGCTGCCTATTAGGGTCATTTGGATGTTTTGAAATGGGCCCGATCAAAGGATTGTCCTTGGGATGCCCAAACAGGTTCTTAAGCTAGAGCACGTAAACATTGGGAAATTGATGAATGGTGCTGTGCAAACGGTTTTCCGGTAGAGTAGAATTGAGCAGGAAGCATACAATTGAGAAACTGACTCAACATCAGAGCTTCAACCTATAACAGGGTACACAAAAATTCTACTGACTCCTGGCATAGGCAGGCAAATTATGTTTCAGTAGAGTTTGAACTAAGGCAATTCTATTGTGTGTGAAGCTTGCTACGTTTATTGATGACTCTGCTGCTCTTTGTGCAGGCTGGCGTACTTTGGCTCCAACATGGGATGACCTTCAGGGAAGAGCAACTTGATCCGGTTCTTTCTCATTTCAACTTCCAGTTCCACTTGTTTGCGAATGTGTTCCAATAGTCCAAACTTGGCGACCCCCAGCTCTTCTGCAATCAAGGAAATTGCCACCATTTGCGGCTCTGGAAAGTCAGCAAGCGCCGCACAGGTGTACATGTCGTACACCATGCTCCTCCCAGCATTCTCCAAAAGGCGTAAGTCAGTCAAGTAGGTACTGCTGCAAACCAGCTCTACATCCAACAAGTCTGCAGCTTCCTGGAGCAAGGGTTCAATCAAGTCAACCATGGAATTATCTGGGCTGGTGATTGTGCCAAGACCTTTGAGGTATCGGACTTGCTCTGGGGTGTAGACCCCCCCACTGCCAATGGCTAGACAAAGGGCCCGGGTGTAGCGGCTTTCAATCTGATGCCTGTGGTGCTGGTCTTCTGCAACCTCACTGGGTGTCTTAGTAAAGCCAAGATGAAAGTTGAAGAAGAAATCATGAGGTGTGATGCCTGATTCTTTGCTTTGGTTGCGCTGCTGATGGCTATGGTGATGGTTGTGGCGGTGGTGATGGTGACGAGACGACATTCTTCTGTTTTGGCTTTGTTTGATTTTATTCCTGGTTTGGGATTTGTGAGCCTGACTGTGCTGATGAGCCCGAGTTGTTGTGCCACGGCGGGGGAGGCGGCAAACACGAGCAGAGTGCTGATGAAGAGGTCCACGACTGTTTCGCGATGGGACGTTCGAGGAAGTTCAATGATCTCGGTTGTTGCCAGACGCACGGGAGTGACGAATCGATCGAGTCGAGTCGAATTATCAAACAATCATCACATCGGTTCATTACCCCACGGATTGGACAATAGCTGCCCGGCGCGCTGCAGGGTAACTGCAATATTATTGCGGCAGCTTCCTCATATCTTTCTGAACGCAAAATCATCAACCATGGCCAAAGTATCATCTCATGCAGCAAACAAAGCAGTCATATACTCTTCCTGTTGTGTTTGGAAGGACACTGAGTGTTTTCAGTGCTTCATTTGACGCTCCAAGCATCATGTTTCCCTCTCCATTGTCGCCTTTTTCGAGGCTCCTCTTTGAACCGATGTTGTTGTTGTCCGCTGAGTCGTGTCTGTGAGTTGGCCGAGCACACCATTCATTCGTTGATTGTTAAAGCTTTCGTAAAGGCCGGCTGGCGCTTATTGTACATCATGAACCGATGTGTCATTCGAGACGAGACGAAATTAGAGTCGAGTTAGTCAAACGAACCATCGTCCAGGTGTCCAGGTCCAGGTGTCCAGGTTCTTGCAGCCACCTCTCGCTGCACCGGTACTAGCTAGGTAGCCGTCCCTGCATCGAAGGTGACAGAGAGCTCGAGCCGGGTTGATTTCCCTGAATCTGTGGAGTTTGCTGAGGATTCGTTACGAAGTATATTTATTTGTTAAAAGAAACTATTCCTCTGGTAGAAAGATGCATATACTACTGAACCTAGCGAAGCTAACAATCCACTTGGTCATTCGCATCGAGAAGCTCGATATCCTTTGTGCTGAGTCGACTGACGCCCATAGAAAGACGGGGTGTAGGGTTCGCTCGGATAGACTCCATCATAGAGGCCGTAACTTCCATCCCTTTTGTCTCCCACTCTTGACGGTTTTGCATGGCGTAGTTGAGGCATTCATCACTAGACACCCCAAACACGTTGCATTCCTTCAGCTTCTTTGCCAATGGGATGATATAGTTGTCAAAAAATCCAAGTTCTCCTCCGTACCTGTTAGAGCATTGAGAACAGCAGACGAAGAAGTGTTAGCGTCAATCAACCCAAGCTCTGGGTGTCTGTTCTAGTTCATTTCGTACCAAAATTCTTCGGGCGATTTGCCCATTCGTCCCGCAGTGAACGCTGCGTACATCTCCCGAAAAAGTCGCTCATTCCTGGGAGAAGGAGGGCAGAATCAGTACAGAATTCTGTTACAAGAGTGGGAAACGGCTCCAGATGGCACACGTACCATTTCCTGTAGACCTGCCAGTGTTGCATTGTGTGCACCACATCCGAAGCCTGAATGATGTGCTCAATCTGCATCATGACAGGGTTGAAGCCGTGAGCATCCGAGTTGGGCCATGCAAGAAACAAGCTTCAAGATTTTAAAGGCACTCACCACAATGGTAGCTCTCAAATCATTGTGCTGCTCGTCCTGCTTGTCTTTGCTGAATGCTCTGTGCCAGCGGGTCTTTCTGAGATCGCCCAGTTCCTTGTCAAAGATGTCCGTGGCTGTGGTGCAAGAAGGGGCGTAGTCGGCAAACGAGATGAGGTGATGGCACTGGGTGCAGTGGTGCTCGGGGTGAAATCCAAAGACTTCGACTTACCAAGCACAACATTTACGACGACTGCAGGCAGGGAAGCAAACACATGTTGAGGTCATCCGAATTGCGAGAATCACGAATGCAGCTTCGCCTCTTATGGTTTACCTTGACGGAACCTCATCATCTCTTGTCGGTTCACAAAGAGGGCCGCTCTGAGTTTGGCATAGTCGTCCCCCATCAACAGATCCCATGCCAAGTCCAATGAGTTCTAAAAAGTTCCATAAATACGGCACCGTGAGAATGATGTATTGCGCGATTCAGCTTCTTTTCATTTTCAAGCAGGAAATCGTACCTGCTCCGCAATGGATTTGTTCTTGTAGAGAGAAGCCATAATTTCATCTTCTTTAGCTAGCTGAGTGTTGGACACGCCTCGATGGTCAGTGTCGTGAATAAGGGCTGAGTGAAGATAAGCAGGATGAGCTAGAGTCCATTGCAAAAACACAGAAGTTTGCCGACCGCAGATCTTACCGGAAAAGACAATGGCAAAGAGAGTTATTGGGTCGGAGTTGATTCCTACAAGGTAGATAGCAACGGTTGAGAACGCAAGTCGCGAGAGGATGACAAGCTTCGGGGCATGACCGAGTTACTACAACGGCACATACCATGCGTGTAGTCATGGACGTGAGCAGCCACACCAGTGTGATCTTTCATGTGGATGCTGTCATCAATGTCTGGTGCCACGATCCTGTTCAGGAATTTATCTACAAAGAGATCGCAAGCTCGTTCGTTAGTTTGAAGTAGACAATCCAATGTTTGCTGCTGCTACCGTTCTGGCTACGTACCGACGGACATGGTGACATGACATGCATGCTCTGCAGGAGGGCCGAGGGAGCGAGGGAGGGTTAGCTTTGCTTGCCAGACGTAACGTCAAAGTTTCAGATATATTCTTACCAAAGTTGTGGAACTGGTTCGCTATTGGTGCAATGGCGGGAAAAGGCCAAACCGTGAGATCTTCCGTTCCCAGCAAGCAACTAGTCAACTGCAGCACTGCTTTTCACAGTCTTACCCTGGTACATTGCAGCCAGCGCCGTAACTAGTTCTGTCAGCTGATCCTCTATCTCCTCACTGATGGTTACCTCTCCGCGCTTCTTTGCTCGAGCGGCATCGGCGGCGTCAAACTGAGGCATCGAAATGACATCGGCTACCTCGTCAAAACTAGTCTTGCCTTCCGGCACGCGGTAGATGAGATCCGAAGCCTTACACTTTCCAACCTTTTTCTGGTCTTGGCGAGCGATGATTGTTGCAATGCGCTTCTTGAACAGATCCGTAACCCATCCGATGAGGCGATCGTGCTTGACATGGCTACTCTTTCTGAGAGGCGGCAAGGGCACGACAGCTTTGCGGCCAGGGGCTTGTTCTGGCTTTGGGGCAATCGACGATACGGCGTCCCGCGAGTTGGGCGTAACCCAGTACGACTCGAGCATGCCTTTGCCTTTGATATTGAGCATATCGGCTCGTCGCTGTAGCCAATGTTCCTGAAGAGGGTGGAGCGTCCCGCATTTGTTTCGTATGAGTTATTGCCCCGTGGTCATAATACTATGAATCAAGAGGGTCGGTTCCTACCTTTCCACCAGCGATCAGTAGTTTTGCCGTTGCAGCCGATACCTGAATCCTGTTGGATTCCCCCGAACTATGCCATGCGCACTGTGTGAGCAGGTGCCACAAACAATTCGAAGACTCTCATAATTGCAAAATGCACGTACCTTTCCATGCGAGCCGCAGTGTTGACCTTCAAAGTACAACATTCAATTCATTGAGTGTCGACCCGCATGTTTCCAATTCATATGCGGCCCATCGTAACTTACCGTGTCCCCAAAAAGCTGGGAGATGCAGGAAAGGGCGATACGTGAGCTGCATGCTGCATCATGATTGCATCTTTATGCTGTGACAAGCAACAACCTACCTGGAACCTTGCACGTTCCCCCCTCAACACACCGGCTGTCACAGGGCCGCTGTTGATCCCGATTCTTTGGAATTAAGTAAGCCATGAAGAGTTTCTTGGGTTAGTTCAACTGCTTTCTAAGGTAGCAGGCAGTCACCAAGTCCATCGAAGGTTGCAAAAGTGATATGTACTTGCCTGATTCCGAGATCTGCAGTGTCCGGGCCCAATGTGTGCTCGAGGCTTCTGGTCAACACTCCAAACTTTTCAACGCACATCCCCGCAAATCTGATGGGGATGAAGAAAGTTAGATTTGCTCGTCTCGACTGGAAGTCAAACCGGGGATTGACGCACGCACCTGGCCATGATCAAAGCATGTCGTTCATTCGGGTTGGGCAAACCGGTGCACGCCACGTAGCTATCCCCTGGAAGGACATGGGGCAGAGGAGGTTTGGAGTGTCAGAAGAGCATGTTGGTGCAATCTTTGCTGCAAAGGATGGCCATGATAAGTGACTTACCCACTGTTTCAACCTGTGCGGACGCGTAGACCATGGTGGATGAGTACGGTAGATCCTTGTGAGCCACGTGGATTGTTCGAGTAGAAACGAGTTGCCTGGCATACGAATCGAATCTTCTCACCTTGAAGACACCGTATCTTCTGCCAATGGCATCAAAGCTTTGATACACAGTTTCCAATAGTGTGAAGACATGGGCTGGATCTCTGGAAGAACTCCAAGCAGTGAATCCTTGGGGAGCAAACGCGAACAGTGTGGCAAGAGAGCAGATAGGTGAGGATTGTGTTGTGGGGATTGGTTTGGTTCCTTTGGCAGCTACAGATGCTTGGTTGGACGCACCTGAAATGTCGCTAAAGAAGACCGTGCACTCGGGGCTGCAAGACGAGCAAGCAAGCAAGCAAGCAAACAATGTCAGAGGACCTGACCACCACTGCCATTCGAAAATCAACAACAACTACCTGGAAGATGCTTACAATAAATCGGCAATGGGCTGACTCATTTGGTCCACACCAGCACCATCGTCATTGAGAAACTTTTTGAGTCTCGTCTTGCCACTGGCATATTCCGATCCCATTAATCGTTCTCGAACGGCTTCAGGGAAGAGCGAATCGACAATCTTGGTGGTCTTCACGGCTTGATCATGCACAACAGCTTGACGCTGTTCGACGTATCGGTTAAAGAGCAAAAAGACAAGTGCCGTCACAACGAAAACCATGGCCACGGCACTAGTCACGATAATGGGCAAGTAGGTCATGTATTCGTCCTGCAATTCCTGTGACGGATACACGTGCAACTCGTAGGCACAAATGTCTTGATTGAGTTTCATGCGCAAGACCGAGTCATCTTCTCCAATGTCAATAATGGATTGAAAGTCGACCGAGCGGACCAAATCGGGACGTTGCGTGCTTCGGTACTGTTCGTGTTGATCGCCTTCACCCAGAAACAAGACCTGTTCTCCGACGACCTTGTAGGTAAATGCTCCGGCACATGAGTTTTGCAAGACAACGACGAGGCCCGGAAAGTTGGATGGCAAGAGATCTTCAAAGTAATAGCTCCACTTGAAAACGGCAAATATAATGCCGACAACTTGTCGTGCCTCCAAGTTGGTCACGTCATCAAAGATGGGAATGTAGACGGTGGACATGGGGTCTCCGTGGTATTCGACCATTTCTCCTTCCTTGAGACTGACTAGCGTGGCATAGTATGCCGTTCCCAGATCATCGGAATTGGCATATCCAGGTGGTGCCGTGTCGAGTCCTCCAATGGCCATTTGTCCCACTTCCACAGCCTTGAGCAAGTAGGGTTCGTAGGCCTGATCGAAGTAACAACACAAGACGAGAGAGAGATGCCAAGCAAGTCAGTGAGTGGTAATCTGTGAGAGACCAAGATGACAAGCCCACTAGCTAGCTATTACATACCTCATACATTCGCACATCAAAGTTGACAGTGGACCCTCCTCCAAAGCTGTAACTTGCTTGCCAACTGGGAAAGTAGGGTCCATCGTGTGTGACGGGTGTGGGGATTCCTTGATCGGAATAGGAAAAGATTTTGTTGGGGAATCCACTGGAATAGTCAATGAGCTGACTGTCTTCGTCTGTAAAGTCATAGAGGGCGCGGTGGCTGTTCTTGAAGAAGGGAGTGGAGTTGGAGGAATGAGTGAATGTAGTAGTGGAAGTTTCTTGGACGTGTCCCTCTTGCGTGACGACTTGCAGCAGATCTCGTCCTCCAAGATGAAGTCCCGCCGTCTTTTCGTATTCTTGTGCTTCCGCGAGCCACCACGTGTTGGCGACAGAGTAGTCTTCCCAGTCTTGTCGCTGGTCTTTGTGAACGAGTGGCACGTACTGAGAATAGAGCGCCCCACTGAGTTGATTGGTCACACCCGCCCGCAATCCAAAATCCTTTATGGTTACGAAAGGCCAACTCATGTTGGGCTGCGCCGCGGCATAGAGCGACGCTTGAATGGCGAGAGAGCCAATGGCGGCCAGTTTCTTGGAAACAATGTCTTCGAACGAGCTCAAAATCTTGCGACTCGAGCCGTCAAACTGATTCTCAAACTCGTCGCTCTCCGCTTTGCTGGTCAAGAGATAGACGCCCACCGAAACGGCCACTGCGGCCAGTAGAATGGCACCCAAGACGAGCAACCGCAGGTAAAAGACCTTGCGCGTCTCGGCCTTGCCAATGGCCAGTTCTTCTTCCGAGGCGCTGGTGTGGCTGTGGCCACCACTGCTGCTGGCATTGTAGTCGGTGATGCTCAGATCATGGTTGCCGTCATCGTTACCACCACCACCACCTTCGCTAAACTCATCCGAAAAGGCATCGGATGCACGAGACACCATCAACTCGTCCTTCTTGGTCGTCGTCATGGTCCACTGATTTCTTGGGGGCTTGCTTGGTGAGATTCGATTCCAACTCTAGCTAGAACTTCAATCTTGTATGTACGCTATCTGTGCAAGGCTCACTGTGACGTCCACTTTCGTAAGCTCGGTTTGGTTGTAAAATGGTACGATAGAAGCAAGTAAATGTTAGAAGTACCGTACGAAGCAGCCAGCTGAAAGAAAGAGGAAAACCAACACAAGCTCCTCTCTGCGATTGATGAAAAAGTGATCCCACACAGACTAGACCGGAATTTGGCCTTTTTCTACAGAGCCTTCCCTCCCGCTTCTCCAGATGACCCAACAACTATTAATACATGTACAAGGTACCGTAGCCAAGCTACCCTGAAGCTAGCTACGGTACCCGTTGCCACGTTGCTACGGTAGCTACACAAGCCAGGAACTAGACATCTAGCTACTGGTTAACTAGCTAGACTAGCTATTAGACAGCTACAGCCCAGCTACCTACCGGTACCCAGTGCTTAGCGCTACCCACTCTCCACTCTACCAATACTCGGATACAGCTGAAGCCTAAAGCAGCTCCAGTAGCTGCTTTGGCTGCTGGGATGCCCTAGATCCAGCCAGGTCTTAAGCTATATAGCCATAATAATATTATAGTCTTAAGGTATCAGCCCAGAATATTACAATAGTCTTAATGCACTGCAGGTCTTAATACCCAGATCACTCTAGAGTACATGTATGTATGTAAGTGAGCACAAGCAAGTGAGCAAGATCAATAATTATTGCAGTTCAGGCAGAACCCAATTGCTAATACAGCTGGCTAGATCTTGGATTTACGAGGAACCGCTTCAGGGTGGTTGTCCAGGACTGTCTCTTCATACCTTTGAAATACCCCAGGCAGATGTTAATAAATAAAGAATCCTCAAACCATACCGGTACACCTAAACTTAACAATACTAAAAAGCACTAGTTAATAAACCACGGTATTATTAACTAATAGTGTTATGTAAACCTTGGGGAAATGGAAGGACATCATCATTCAAATGGACATTCGCGAGCTCATTCGCGGTTACAAAGCCAGCTGTTGCGGTACCAGTGAGGACTTTTTGGGAAAGTCATGAATTAAAGGTCTCCTTTAAAGCACTATTAGCAGCTCACTACTCTTCATCCCAACAGCCCAACAGTACCGGTACTACAGTAAAGCAGCTAGTAAAGCTACGTTGTCCTCAGTATTAATCAAGTGAACCCATAACTCATTTATTGTTCATAACCTGCTCAGACCATGAAATAAAACCCATTCATCGCCAGAAAGTCATAAAGGATGATTCTGGTTTACAATATTATTTACTTTAGAAGTTTTAGACCTATGCATGCAGAGTACGTGTACAGAGTCATGAAAACATGAAACCGGAACCATACAAAGAAGCAGCTACATGTATGATAATATAAATTATTGAATCCATTCGCATGAAGCCCAACTAACTTACCAATTAAGTAAAGCAGTACTTAATTAAGAGTGCTTTTAGCGAAGGACCAGGGAACACCTCTACACTGTAAAGCTTCAACGCTTTCTGTTCATTGCACTGTTTGCATACCTAGTGGCACATGTACCGGGAAGCTAAGTACAGACCAGCTGATAGTCCCAAAGCAACCTACACTGTATGTTTGCCTAATAATTAATGGGTTCCGAGCTACCAGCCAGAAGTTGTCCAATACCTAGCTCTCGATCTCTCCAATTCCGTCCACGGAGATCTTCAAATGTGATTGTTTCAAGGCTTTCTGATCCAACTGCCTACCCAACCAATCAGAAAAAATGATAGGGAGTGAGAATCCAATAGACTCGTCCGTGGACATTGCCTTTTTGCGAACCTTTCTCAGTCGATAATGTCTCTGCAGTCTTTTTACAAAACCATTATTAATACCAGTGAACAGCGAACGGTGAACGGAAACAGAGGATTTATTTGGCTTCTTTTCTGCAATCTTCGCCTACTTCACCACCATATTCCTGCTTCCGAATGTATGTGATACCGGCAGATTCTCATTCATTGTCCCAATTGGGACCGCTACCGTAAAAGTAGCCATGGGAGTGGCAATGGTGCAAGCGACCGCTGGCAGGGAAGTTGTCAATACTAGTAGCTACTCCAGAGTACGGACATGCTCGAACATGTGCATACTAGCTAGCTAGCGATGATTACTGCGCCGCAGGAATGCCTCCTCAATGTCAAAGCAAGGATGGGCTTCTCTTCAAGCTCAAATGGTGGAGCTCTCGGCTCGAGTTACTCCCAAGCTCCTACTAAACATCAGTCGTCATGTTTCTCGCCTGCTCTGCTGGTTTGATCTTGGAAAAACGTTTCACGGTTCCACGCTATTGTCTTTGGTTTTGCAGGGGCGCTTCAGTTTACTTTGTGGGAGGACACTGCAGCACCATGTGCTCTCTTTCGCGAAGTGTCGTTATTGCCGTGGCGAGCTTGTCTTTGTTAGGAGAGCTAGGCAGTGGCTTGACGCCGACCAACATTGGCGGCAGACGTCGATTTCACGTGTCACCACCTGTATCCGTCCTCGCGACCGCAAGATCACTGTTTGCACAAAAACCAGAAAGTGACGAGACTATTCCCAGTAAAAACAAGCTGTTGCCACCACTGGCCTTGGAATTCGATAAAGAAGCACTCTATGCTACCCCATGGCACTTTCGACTGCGACACATTTTGCAGTACTTTCCATTTCTAAAGTTGCTCAACATCTGATTTGTCCAATGCCCTGCTGGTCTCTGTTGGTGCATTGGCATCCGTGGGAATCCTTTCCAAGACTATCACTGGCACCACTGTTGCAAACTTTGCCTACGGTGGGATATCTGGCTTTGGCTGTTTCGTGAGGATCCCATGGTTCATCTTGGAGACACTCCACGCCCGGGCCGTCGAGTTTTTCGTTGAAAGTGCAGCATTTTTTGCTAGTTCTATTGGCATGTGTCATTATGTTTTCTGGTAACAAGCCAGACGAGAAAGGCAATTTCGGGCATCCCAAAGATCCAGGACCCCAAGAGGGCGCTGAAGTAAAAGAAGAAAACAAAGGAAGCTAACGAGGCAAAATGGGCGCCCAAAGGAGTACGAAAGGGATTGCTAATAGAAGGAGTGTGGCGGTTTGCGTTTCGATGGAGCCAAGTGATGAAATGGGCTTTCACTCTTATAGAGCCCAGCCTTTGGTTGTTCAAACTTCCAGCAATTTTTATGCTATGGGTTGGATACACGCTCAAATCCTATCTGTTCCCAAGGAAGGAGATTGATGAATTTCGTGACAACATGAGTTACACTGCGTTTCAGGAGAAGATTGCTTCAGTTTCGATTTTAGAACCAATTTTTTAAAATGCGGACAACATGGCTGAGGTAATGACAGCATTGACTTTGCCGCATGTGGTGCTAATTGGCCCATGGAAAGAAGAAGTTGTGTTCCGGCTTGGTTTTCACAAGGGTTGGCTCGGACTGAGTGGGCTCATTGGGACGACATCTACCCCAAAGACATGGTTTGGCCGCACCCCCTGGGTGCTCTTGAACAGTGTTGTCTTTGGACTGATTCATGCGATCGATTAGATACCCATGATCTTGGACGACAGTGCTCCTCGGATGTCACGTCGATATCATGGCAAACGGGCAGTGTTTCACGTGTTTGCCGCTTGCCTGCTGGCATGGTATCTCTTGAATCCTTTATACACGGAGAGAGGTCTGGCAGCTGCTTTTGGGGCTCACGCGGCTTTGAATTTGTGCATGGCGACTCTCTGGAAGAGTATTGTGGATTTGGAGGAGCATCGAAGAGACTTGGGCTTGTCCCCTCCAAGTGATTGAAGCAGTCGGTGATGAATCGGGGGAAATGTAGACTTGTACTACTGCACGGTATCGGGATCACGTTTTCTAGCCCACAAGTCCACTATTCTGCTGTGTTGTGTTTTCTATCCATGATTCTCGGACCCAGGCTACAATCCCGCTCCGCCCGCCCCTGTTGCCGAACCAAATATCATAGTTTTGGCTCTGCTGGTTGCTGGACAGGGTGGAATTTGAGGACAGTGCTCGACCAGCCAACTAGCTAGCTGGTACTAATCGACTTGACTCCAAGAGTTATGCTGTAGCTGCTGCTGTTTTTTCTCCACTGCACAGATTTCCCTTTCTTTTGTACCGTACAGTACTGTAGTAGCCACAGATCCGGAGCCCAAATGTGGTTTTAGTCAGCCAGACTAGCTCGGTACAGTAGTCTAGCTTTAGTAGCTATTACATGTATCAGCTTGATCTGGAATAAGTTGCACTCTTGCCGCGAATGATACAAGACCATCATCATGCACAGCCACTGACAGGATCCCTCCGCCTGCTTCCGGGCTGTGGTACAACTGTAAGAGGCACAGCGGCAGCACTGGGCTGTTGGGTTGTGAGCTGCTCTAAAAGGCGAAGACCATCGTGGTTTGTGCCAGTCTCCGGTACTGGTACCCGTACGGAAAGCATTCACGAGATGGAGACTTTACTATAGGAGCAACAGTAAACATAAAAAATGATCCAGACAGGTTTCTTTAAATAGTAGGAGAAGCACTGTCTTGATTTGCGTCTCATTTTTACGACGGATCACTACTGAAAGGGAACAAATGCATTAAAAATACCATATTTGAATAATCAATTGCTTCTCCTCTTACTTAACAACAAGATAAAAAGAGCATTCATCCATAGTGGTACGGAGCTCATCCAGTAAAAGTCACTCCAAAATCGACCCAACCATCTCATATCTCATTTATTTTATGACCTCATGGCGTCAATCCTGTCGTCCTGAATGGTGCAGTACGAAATCTGGCAAGTATTAGTAGTACCAGCAGCAGCGCACTTCTTGCCTCATTTGACATCCAGTCCAAACTCTCCTGTAGTATCCGACTTGTTTGCCAAGCTCACCAGGTTACCATGTCGTCGCCCCCTTTCTCCACCACTACTAGCAGTGGCAACGGCGCAAAGAGATGCAACATTTCGGTGGATGGGGAATCGTTTGACATTACGAATCTGTTGGAAGAACTGCCCACTACTACTAGCAGTAGCGATGGTCATGACCATGATGACAAGCGCGACGCGTTGAAAAAGAACTATCCGAGTATTGGCAAGCTCTTGGCGCAATCGAGTCATCACAAACTTCGCGCCAGCTTTTTGGGACGGGAAGACAGTTTCGTGTTTCCCACTTCTTCCAGTCATCATCAGACGGGTGTTCCCGGTTTGTCGGAACTGAACGAATCCATGAGTTCCTTTAGCGAGTCCCATGGATTCCTCGAAGGATCCAGTTGGCATAATAATACTACTACTACTTGTAGTGATGACGACCGCAAGATGCCCGCCAACGAAATCGAAGTTTCTCCGGGTGTCTTTTTGCCGTTTCGCGGTTCGGACGAAACCTGGCGGGCCATTCGAGACGGCAAGCACTGTTGCGTCGTGTGCTTTGATTGTTCCCTCGAGCTGGTGGCCGCTAGAGACTGTGCTCACGTCGTCTGTCCCGAATGTCATACCGTCAATCCCCTCTCTCTCGATCATCATTCCTCCGGATCCCAGCATTTTGGGGTACTCATGGGATTCAAGAAACAATGGTGTGGGGAATATTTCAAGGATGAAACTACAGGAGGTTGAAGAAAAAGATCAATATTTGGACAGGAATTGGAATTGGAATGGATCAATGGTGTACGGTAAGGTAAGGCAAGGCAAAACAATGCAAGGCAAAAACACAAACTTTAGGAGAATCATAAAGTCTGGGACAACAAACGTCTCAATCGTTAGCGGCAAACGTCCGAGATTTGTGCATGTAATCATAGTAAGAAGCTTCATTTTTAAACTCTGGGATGGGCCTGTCGCTCCTCGCCTCTCCATTATTACTCGGGCTGAGCGTTTTTCAAAAATTCGCAAGATCTGTTTTGCTTTGGTTGTCTATAATAGATAATTCTAGCTCGCTAAATGAGTGGCACCTAGAGAAACCTTTGATGGTTCCGTATCGTATCCGCCACTCGACTCGACTCGACTCGAGCGGGCCCTCAACTCGCAAAGAGGTCGATGAACTGTTCCGATTCAGCAATAACTGTTGCTTGTGGGTGCCGTGTTTCAAACCTGACTGGCTGCGCTCGGAGCATGGCTGTGCGTCTGCAGCCACGCTGCTGATCGACCAAACTCAGCTACCGAAACAGAATCGAATCGATGCGAGTATCGTACGGTGCTCGCCACGAGCGACTCGATTCGATTCGAACGGGCCCGAAAGGGGTTGTTTCCGCAGGGTGCTGTTTGGTCCTTTGTGTTCAAACCTGACGGGATGCGCTCGGTCCATCGGCTGTGCGTCTGCACGCTGCACGCTGCTGATCGACCAAGCCAATTGGACTACAGGATCTTTTCGAGTTTCGTTTCGTCGTGTCACGCTTTCCCTTTCCCTTGATGCACGTGCGTCCGACCAAGTTACCTGGTTGCGTTTCGACCCGTCGTGGCACTTGTGTCCTGGCTGCGCTGTTTTTGTTGTTGTTGTTCGTCTTGTGTGTGTGTCTGCAATATATAATAAACGTAACTACCAATGAATATGATGTATGGATCCTTCATGACAGGAACACTCACTGGTACAATTGCTAAAATTGGTGTCACAACCACCAAACGCATCCAACTCCATCTCCATACAAGGACATCGATGTCCCAATTGACATTCGGTAACAACGACAAGATGGTCTCGTGGACACAATTCATCCGGTATCGGTCCGGTAATGTAATTGCCATACACCTCCAGTGCCGTGAGTGTTGTCAGTAGTCCCAATTCACTGGGCAATTGTCCTCGGAAATTGTTTTCAAATAATTTGATGGTGTGTATTTGTGAAAAGCGTCCCATATCCGTCACTATCGTCCCGTACAAGCTATTGAGACTCAAATCGAGATAGTGAAGGGATGTCAATGCTTGCCCTAATTCCCGCGGAATGGTTCCTTCCAATTGATGATTGCCATGCAAATCTAAATGTGTCAACTGCGTCAACAATCCCAATTCGGTCGGCAATGTTCCCGTGAGGGCATTGTCACTCAAATCCAAATACTGCAAGAGCGTCAGTAATCCCAAATCGGCAGCTTGCAAATTTCCCGTCAATGCGTTGTTGTGCAAATCGAGATGAGTCATGTTGGGTGCCAATTGTGTAAAATTGGGCACGACACCCGCCAGGAGCGCATTGTTGGTGACAAAGAGTCCTTGCAAATGTTGGAGTGGCGATGTCGCTTCCGGATCTTCTTCCAAATCGGGAAAGGGCAATAATTCCGTCAATGGATGATGATAGGCACTCATATTGTTGAGTTCCAAAATAGCGAGATCCGACAACAACTGCATTTCATTGGGGACACTGCCGTTGACAATATTGGCATTGTTTTGGAATTGTATCCACGTGACCATGGAAGCATTATTATTGTTGTCGTTACACATGGAAATATTATTGGTTTGATTCCACCAGTAGCATTCATTCACGTCGTAGCTCAACCAATAGCCCTGTTCGTCGGGCGTCCAATCGTTGTATTCCATCGAGTAACACAACGTGGCCAATGCAAAGACTTGTTTCTTGCGTTCCGAATGTTTGGGATTTTCCAAACTGGCAAACTGGGGATGTCCGCGATACCACTGATACGCTTCGGCTTGTGGCGTTTCCACACTGCCCGACAAGTAGAACATGAGTATAATCCAGAGGGCCAATCCAAAGGTCCCCATCCACCAGAGGGGAATCTTGAACTGCAAACAACAAATGCACCACCACGGATTTCGTTCTTTCAAAATGTCGGGAGCTGTGTGATCACCACTATTGTTCTCATCATGACTGGTCAATGACACTTGTTCACTAATGTGATGTTGATGACCACCTACAGCAGGATGATGATGGGAATGCTTGGTATGGAAATGTGTCTGCTTGTGAGGAGGATGACTTTGATGATGAACACGCAACACCTGCAATTCTTCATCGTCGTCGCTAGTAGAAAGGTCATCGTCGTCACATCGTTTGCGCGTATGATCAATCAGTGTCGCCAGAATCGTTCGTTTCACGCCGTTTCTTCTCGGCGGCGCGTTGTCGACTACTACTGGTTTGGAGATGACCGCCTCCACTCCATTTGCTAGTTGGATGTTTGTGTCGGCGACTACTACGGCCAATCACTTCTGCTTCTTCATCGGCCCACGGTTCTTCGGGCAAACTGTCCATGGACTCGTTGCTTTGAAACGCACGAGACCGAGTAGTAGTCGGACCAACGTGACGGCGGTGTCGACCAGAACCAGCGGCTGCCATGGTGGATCACAACAATAGTACTGTAGTAGTAGTAGTATGGTAATTGAAGAGAGAGACAACAGCAACAGCAAGAAAGAACAAACGACTTTTTGCCTTGTCGAGGCCGTTGTTGGAATGGTTGTTGCTTGTTGGGGGTCGTGTGGCGGGAAGACTGATGAGTCACTTGTTGTTTGGAGCGTCGCAGCGCTTCAACTTTAACTCTAAGAGACAGTAAGGGTCAGAAATTTCACTTTCCACGCTGTACCGGTACCTACCTGGCACTGTTGGCCTAGTCTAGCTACTAGCTAGAAACTCAGATCTATCCAGGCAAAGCTGCCAATACTACTCTACTAGGTAGGTAGGATCGGGGAGGGGTTATGCTCTGGACCGTTCCAACATGTTGTTGCAGCAAACTCATCTACGTACCGTAGGCATCCAGCCATGGAGGCAAAGAAGAAGCTATTCATGAACACAATTAGTTTATGTTCATTTTTATTTGCGCCTGTGCTTGCTTGTTTAGAATTCCAGCACTTGGAACTAGCTAGTCTAGCTAGCTAGCTTGCTTGCCTGGGATACTCATATGTTACCAAACATGTTGACTTTAGTCGTTACTTGCTTTTCAGGAATTGCTCAAAGAGGAAATCAAAGATACCGGTAGCTTCAAGCAGCAAAGATACGGCTGAGCTCAAACATGCAGCAAGCTGCCTAGCAACTAAGATAGAATGGAATGATTATGGGTGGTGGCTACAGATAGATTACTTGGAACAGATAGTTTTGAAGAGGATTCCAAACCCCTGGTTCACACGCATCAGGCTTTTGTGAAAATACTACCGGTAGCACCGAATAGCTGCCTGCCTGTGGAGCTTTGCAGCAAATAAATTGATCTCGATCCAGTGTCAAGTCATGATGAAGCAGTCAATAAAAGGAACTAGCGCTTGACAGCACTTTGGTCAAGGGAACTGGAGGCTTTGCGTTTGAGGCCCGATCTCTTCTCCTCGGCAGCATTGTTGCCTTTTCCTCCACAAGAGGAAATCCATTTGTCAGGTGCTTCCCGCAAGAGCCCATAGAGCATTGGGACAAGCTGTTCGTCACAGACCCCTTCCTGAGTACCTGCTCGTGAAATCACAGAGGTCATTAGTTGGGCCATGTTCAGAGACTTTTCTGTGTCTTGCAACAAATTATACCTACCACAGCGATTGAGTGCTGTGTAGTAGTCAATGACTTTCCCCTTTTTTCTTTTCTTGGGTTTGGTACGCCATTTTGTGCACCAATTGATCTCGACATTTGTTACAGTTGTATTCCACTGCAAGATCTCAATCACGCGGTCTTGGTATGTATCAGTCTGCTTCGTACCGGCACTGGTAGCTTGCAGTACTGTGAGCTTGAACTCTTTCAGGTTGGAGGCATCGCCGGTTTTCGCTAAAGCATTCAAAAGTGGCAGAAAGAACCCTTCTTCTGTATCAGATTCCATACTGGAGAAAATTTCGAGAGACTGCAACAGACCAGATGCAATTTTGGAGGAGATTGCTTCAATCATGTTACAATCAATAGAATCTCCCAAGTGGATTGGCAATTTCAAAAATTCTAGGTTTGGCATGTCCTGCACCTTCGATGCCAATGCTGACCTTGTTCCATCCATCTCACCAGGTGTCCAATGCATGGAGACGTCAATTCGCTTGGAAGAAATTGGGAAATATTGTATCATTTTGCTGAGGAAAGCATCACTGATCTCACATTTACCTGTTAATATGTTAAATGCCTCGGTAAAAGGGCTGTTGGTCTGTTTAGGGTTGTTGGAATACATTAGGGCTTCTGGAAACGCAACAAAGAGAGTCTCAAACTTCTCTTGCTGTCCTCTTTCCTGCATCCACCACATGATCTCAGCAATCGATTTAGGTTCAAGTACGCTGGGATCCACTACATGGCCCTTGAGAAACTCAATTACATCACTCCTGGGACAATGCCAACAGGCATCCCGAAAGACATCATCCGTCATCGCTGCTGGATCTGCTTGGTAGACTAAGTGAACCATCGCCAAAGGTGCTCCTGTGACCACCAAGCTGTGAAGTGGCGAAAGGTCCTGGAGGTCATCTAAGTACACAAACTCCCTTCTGTATTCCTCTGATATTTCAGTCTCAAGAAGCGGCATGGTTCTTCAAAATGATCAAGAAGTGTCACGGCTTGCCTGCCGGTTGTGTTTTCGCTGTTGCGCCCTTCCTGAGGTTTGAGGACGCGAGAAAGCAGCTTTATTAGAGCCTGTCTAGACAGACTATGATAGGTGGCCAGGAGTCGACGGTCAATAGAGTGTAGTCAAGTAGGCATGTAATTCCAGGTTTAAAGGTTCATGGTCGAGAATCGGAATCTCAACATGGCGACAGTACCGGTACGACTGTAGCCTCTTCGAGGTTGTGCTTTGCTTCTTTCTTTCTTTCATCCTCTCTTCTCAAACAAACAGCTTTGCTGCTTTATATTCATATGCCCTCTGGGTCGTCTCCGTTTCCAGTACTAGTTTAACTCGTTTACTAATACAGGATTATGGTGAATAGAATCGAATCAATCATGTGGCTTATATTTAGGGTTTAGGTTTTAGGCAATCACGCTATCTACAACCACACCACACAGTGAAAACAGCGTGACGAATCTTTATTCATTTCAGCGAAGCCAGCGCACCACGTTTCCTAATCTGTCCATGTTGATCGTTAAGTAAATCCCACGTTTTTCAGTTTACATCCTGCGCACCGCTCCCATCTCGCTGTGATTTTTACTTAGATAACATATACCCCGAAAATCAAAATTCGTGAGGGCCCGCTCTACATCATCTGGTGGATAAGATAAAATAATCAATTATATGCACCGTTCAAATACCCTAAATCTCCTGCTGGCAGCCATTGGCGATTTCACACAACTCCGCTCTTGTCATCTGGTGGGTAGGATAAAATATCGTATGTATGCACCGTTTCAAATACCTGAAATCCCTGCCGGCAGCAATTGGGGGATTTCACACGACTCCAATCACACGTGTGTTCTTCATGTGTCTACGGTACTGTCCCCTAAATAATTCAAATCGAATCTTTCCACGAAAAACTTGCGATTTCTAGCGAAGGTATCGTACACGACTTCCGCTGGCAACGCCCCTTCCCCCTTCGATACAAAGTGTACTGTTTCACTATAGCATTACAAGCCAGGCTACACTATCTCCGCTCAATCGTATCACGAATACACTCAGGCGAAGACATCCCGCTTTCTATATTACTTTCTTTGCATTGAAAATGTATATATGCAACCATTCCTATCGCATCGACATCTTGAAACAGTCACAAAATCAGTTCAGCAAAACCTCAAACATCCCTCATCCTACCTAGCAGCCAACCACAGCCATCTCTCCTTCCCACGTAGACCTTCTTTTTACCTTCTTCTTCTGTTTGACAATGTTTTGCCTTTCAACATGGCCACTCACCTTCCTCTTTCGGACTTCAGTTTTCAGAACTCCTCACCATGTCTTCCCAAACACCGAATCAACACACGTCGCGCAATCGTACCCTACTTCCGGGGTATCAACAGCAAGAAGAAAAAGGCGGCGCAACAAACAAGAGGTCTTTCAATTCCTGTGAGTTCCACGCTGTATCCCAGAACCTCAAGGAAGACGAAGATACCCCTTCCCCGGAATGTCCTCAAGTTCACAGGCTTTGTTGAAAAGAAAGCTACCGGGTGTATGTACAACCGACGCAAAGACCACCCCGTCAACGGCGTAAACCCAAAGACATGATGGCCTTTGTTCAAGCCCTCTCTGACAAGCACATGATCGAGTGGGTATTCAAGTTGGTGGACCCCGCTTCTGCTGATGGGGAAAAGCTCCTTATGTACGAGGCCACCACGGTACTGCTTATGACCAAAGAGGCTTGTTATCATGTGCCCCAGAGAGAACTTGACGAACAAACTGGTGAACTTTGTTGCCCCAGATCCCACCCCAGAAATGGCCTTGAAATGGTTCAATGAAACCTTTAAACGGCCTACATGCAATACGTTACGACCCGGCAAAGAAGGATGAACCCTTCCTAGTTCTCGACGAACAGGACAAGGGACAAGGTCCATGACACCGTGAGTGAGCTGATCACCCAATCCGACATCATGACTCACCTTGTGACGGTTTCTTGGATCGATCAAGGCGAAATACCGCACTGTATCCGAAGTTCCTCAAGGGACGACAAGGGCCATGTGTACTCTATTTGGCCTCGTGGTCAACTCCCCGCTTCACGTCTTACGTCCGTTGGTTTCCACCGAAACAACCTTGATGCATCGGACTTCGGTCGCATGCGGCCACACTGGTGCCCGTCGCAACATTATACAAGCCACTACGCACGCACACCATCCCCGCCCCCACCTCTACTCCACCATTTCGCCTTCAAGCTGCCCACGGCCCTTCCCCATGGTTTTGCACTACCCCCCGGCATGAACTTTGAGCCTTCTTGGGAACTCTTCTCAAAAAGCACCAGCAGGAGACGGTGGTAAGTCTCCTACAGTAGCTTCCCGTATAAATCCCCCGTGCCTCACTTTCAAATCCTCAATACTTGACCTCCCAATATTATTCGCAAACCATTCCCAGTCCAATGCAACCAAATACGTCATCTCCCGTTCCACCTGTCCACGAACCACGTCGCCAAAGTGTCACCTGCGAATTAGTCAGAATGATGACACTCCAATGGTATGAAGAAAGCTGCGAACTTGCTCACGATCCTATTACGAATACCCCAGTCCGAAGAAGAGCAGGAAACAGGAAAGAAGAAGACACCAAGCTCCCAGCGGAAGCGAACCAACCCTCACTTAACACATACTATCACACAAAACTTTACAACCTCACAATACCACGGTGACTTCAAAATTGCC